GCACCAAGGAGGAGTTGTTGTTGTTCCTGCTGCTGCTGCTGGCGGAAATGTGATTGTTGTTGCTGCCCGTTTTCATCTGTTTTTGGGGGGAAAAAATATTGTTTGTAATTAATTTTTTTTTTTTTTAATATGGCAAAATAAGTTAAAAATTTTGTGTCTCAGTTTTTATTGGAGCTAAATAAGTATGACTATTCTTCTACCTGTTTACAAGTACTAGAATAAAAATGTTCAAAACTTAAAAGCTTTTTACCCACAACTCAAGTTATTAAATACTACTAAATACTCCCGTACCAAGTTACCTTATTTTTCAAGATACTCCAAGGTAATTGCTGCCGTTGCCATTTTATTATATATATTTCACCATGAAAATTTAACAGAATATTCTTTAAAATGTCACACTTTAATATACCCATTGGTATTTAAGAACTGTTTCGTCAAAAAAAACCACAACCACAACAAATTTTTTTAACACGAATTCGCCCTATTCCCCCCTCCCCTCTTCAAGAAGGTTTGGAAAATACAAGCATACGTGCTGCTATGCAAATAGCCAACTACACACGTGGCTCAAAGTGCAAACTTACGATGATTAACCAGGTTAATTGGATAAACCCCATTAAATGGGTGATTCTCAAAGGGGGGAGGGGGAAATGAGGATTCCAGCTGTTGCACACTCACACACAAACAGAGCTCAATTTCTTGCAACACCTCATATATGCCACATGCAAAATCAATAGATGCAAGATGCAAGATGCATTTTATTTGGGTGAAGGCTATATATACAATATGCATTTGTACATATGAGTGTGGCAATTGCATTCGCTTAATGTTGTTACTTTTGTTATTGCTTTTGCATTTGCAAATTTTGTTTGGCCCCCAAAGTGCATGTGTGTGTTTGTGCATCGAAAAGATCTCACGTCGGCGTTACCTGTATTATCACAATAGTTTTACTCACTTTTGAATAATCCACCCACACCTCAGTTAACCAGCATAAACGTAAATTGCCAAATTAAAGCACAATTCTTCTCCAATCTCCAATCGTACGAAAAAAACAAATAGCTCGGTCTTCTTCTTGCTCATCAAAGGGTGGCAACTTTGGGTCAGTGCTGCCAGACGAAAAATCAGCTCTTATCGATATTTTCGTTTCTTACGTTCGCCTTGTTAAACGTAAGCAATTGCCATCTCTAGAAACGTAACCATCTCCCGTGTCTTCGAAACGTAACCAAAATTCGATCAAAATAAATTTGGAATATTACAAAAATTAATTGATTCGCAACTGAAATCTAAAGAAAATGCACCTGCCTGGCCGGCTTCAACTGAAGAGAGTGCATTAAGGGCATCATTTGGAAACGAAAACGTAGGAATTGGCCAAAAAACGCAGTCATGGAGGAGAATATGTGGTAAATAATAAACATTGGGTTGGGGCTACGTAAACAATTAAGGTTAGTCGGTGCCTTAAAAGCTACAGCATCCAGTTTTCTGGTGATTTATAAGGCCTGCTTGTTGTTTTCCCATCAAGGCCTTCTATTTTCTCGAACAGACGACCATTTGTTTCGGTGATTGAGTCAGCAGCGTGGAGCAAGGCCAGCGGGGGGAGTGGCGGAGCACCTGGCGGGGGAGGGAAAAAGTGGGTGCTCCGTCTTATCAGCAGCTGGTTATTTAGACACGTTGACGTCGCCTTCACCCTTCTACGGCTACATGATTAAAACAGTTTTCCTCCCAACCAACCCCTTTGTAGGATCATTGAGCTGGAATCGGCGCTACTGGACGACTGCAATGTCAACGATATCTATGGCATTTGCCAGGGCAAAGCTCTGCCGGAGGCACTGCGTCCGGATGTGTGGCAAGTGTGTTTGGATGTGCGCCACAAATCGGATCAGATGTCGCTCTTCAACGAGATCTACGACCTGCCTTTCCAAAGCCAACTACGCGAGGATTGCCAAAGGCATGTCGATCGCATGGGCAACGATGAGGAGGACAAGGTCTCGGTGGTGTCCGATCTGGAGTCCATCATCACATTCTACTGCAAGAACCGAAATCTACAGTACGAGCCGGAAAACGGTTGGATAGAGCTGCTGCTGCCACTCTTCGCCCTGAAACTAAACCGCTCGGATACTTTCAACCTGTTCGAGTCCATCAGGGACACCTACATACCCAAGGGCTGTCGGCCCAAGGGCAATGTCTTCCACGTTTTCCGCCTGCTCTTGCTCTACCACGATCCCGAGCTCTGCACCCTGCTGGACACCAAGAAGATCACACCCGACTTGTACTCGCTGACCTGGTTCCAGTCGCTTTTCGCCTCCTGCAGCAGTTTGTCGGTGATCATCGCAATGTGGGATCTCTACTTCCAGAATGCTGACCCTTTTATGGTCTTTTTCCTCGCCCTAATTATACTAATCAATGGTAGAGACCAGATCCTGCAGATGAGGAGCTCGTCCAAGGAGGAGATCATCAAGTTTCTGGCTCTTATGCCCTGTGCCCTGGAATTCGACGATGTGCCCGACTTCTGCTCGCTGGCCCAGTACTATGCGCTCAAGACACCCACTTCGTTCAAGACGGACTACCTGAAGGCGCTGTATGGCAAACAGAATGATACGCCACGCAGCCAGGAGGAGGCGAACAAGGTCTCGCAGGCCCTGTGCCTGCCCGTCTCCGTTTATGAGCTGGTGGAAAACTCGGCCACCGAATTCCCCGTGCCGGATGCAGTGCGTTTCTTCCTCGTCGACTGCCGACCGGCAGAGCAGTACAATGCCGGCCATCTGTCCACGGCATTCCATCTGGACTGCAACCTGATGCTCCAGGAACCTGTGGCCTTCGCCACCGCCGTCCAGGGACTGCTCACCGCCCAGCGGCAGGCCATCGAGGCCAATTCAAATGCCGGCGGCGAGCATTTGTGCTTCATGGGCAGCGGACGCGTCGAGGAGGATCAGTACACGCACATGGTGGTGGCCTCATTCCTGCAGAAGAACACCCACTATGTGTCGCTGCTGACGGGCGGCTATGCCTCCATTCACGATTACTTTGGCGACCACATGGCCGACTGCCTAGAGGATCACAATGTGCGCAAGTGCCTCGTCTGCCAGCAGCACAATGTTCAGCAGGTGAGTTGTAATTAAGTCCCTGCTTTTGAGACTTCAAATAGACACTTTACCCTCCCACAGACAAAATCAGCGACTCTAAAGGCCTCGACGCCCTCGTCCACGGATCTGTTTAGCAAATTCTCCGCCGCCATGAAGTCAAAGTCGGCGGAGGTGAAGGGCAAACTGCTGGACATCATTGTGAATCCCAGTGCCAATCCCAGTGGCTCAGCCGGCGGTTCCAATGGCGTGCAGTCGACGCCGGCCCAGGAACGCCATGTGAGTGCCAAGGAGCGGAACGGCAAGCGGTATCGCAATGTGGCGCCTGTCTTCAGCATTGACGATGAGAACGAGGATGCCTTCGATGGGGCGACGGGGGAGCGGGATGACCAACCGCTGGCCGGCGATGGCAAGGAGATCGTGAGCCTGAACCAGTACTTCAAGACGGCGGACATCATCAATGCCTTTAAGTGCCAGGAGGTGCACATGAGTGGCTATATGTACGACAGTCACTTGATCATCACGCCCGGCCAACTGGTGGTGCTTAGGGAACTGGGACGAGGACAGGCGCAGATAATGGTGCGCCGCCCGCTGGCCAGCATTGTGAAGATCACGGCCAAGAAGCGCCACCGCGACCTGATCACCTTCAAGTACGGATTCCCCGACGGCGATGGGCTGCTCATCACGGACATGGACCGATTCCTCATCCCCAATGCCGCCGAGGCAACGGCCCTGGTCTCCAAGCACATAGTGAAGGTGCTGGACAACGCCAAGTAGTAGGATAATATAACATATTAAAAACTTCCGTGTGCTCTTCTTGTTTAACCCCTCCTCCCTTCCGCCCCAAGCTTTATTTCATATACCCATCACACAGATGGCCAGAAAGCAGAGTAACAAAATGTGCAATGCAGTTAGTTTGTAATTGGCAATGTTTTCCTTATAGTAGCTGACAAATTGTAGTTCTTATTGTAAACAAAAGGCAAAGGTCTCTGCATGCCATTGTAACATAGAGCAAATGAAGATGAACAGAGGAGCGTTCACCCACAGATCACATCGCCAGCATATGCCCCGTCCTTGGGCCGGTTTTTCTAAAATTTCTAAGTGCTGAAGAGATGAAAAGGAATCCTTAACTGAAGCCTTGAGACTTACAACGTGTAAATGAAGAGAGTAACTTATATTTATTGCAATTAAACCAAACAAATAAATCTGTATTATAATCGACACAAATAAGTAGTTCTAACAAAACTATCAAACTTCATTTATGGATTTTGGGTTTGGGAAATACAAAACGCTCATGAAGTTTGTGGGATGAATCCGTAGATTTTCCCGCACTTAAAAGAAAAGTTGTACCAAGCCTTATTTATATGTTTTACTTAATGGAACTACTATTATATTGACTGCAACTGTATCTATGTTTATCCATTCCCGAGTGCTAATAGGAGATATGTAGACCTCAGCAATTTTTGCCTGCATCACTTTAATCAGATTGCAATTTGTTAGTTATATCTAAAAAAAATGCATTGTCTTTATTTTGGTTCTAATTTTGTATTACTTGTGATAATACGAAAACCCAAAAGTGTAAAGAACTCAATTGAATATTTATTTTACCTAATAGCTATGGTCACACAGACATGTCAGACTTATTTTGATGTGATTCAGTTTTTTTTTATTAAGAATTAAATTCAAAACTGAATTAATTAATTATGAGCACATATTTGCCACCATAGATTTTTAACAAAAAATTCAAATCCTAATTAAATACTTATTTTACGTAATAGCCAGTGTCATAAACGCACATATTTGCCACCATAGAACCGGATAGCACAGCTATGACCGAACGACCGAAGGCAGCGCTTTGCAGACTCGACGCAGGCGCTCTGGAGGATTACCCAACTGTCCGAGCCAGGGAACTACGTAAGCAGGCTCCTCTGAGGCCCGCCGTTCTTTATCAATGAGAGTGACGTAGGTTGTGTGCCGAATGGAGATGGAGTAGGGTGGACCCGACCACCGGGACTGGGTGTCGCTGCAAACACACACAGGGAATCGTAGTCGGAATCGGAGTCGGGAATCGGGGCCAGTACGTTAAAAACTGTTGCACTGCGTCGCTGGGACGTCAGTTCATTCAGAACAGTCGAAGGGCGCAGACCACTGAAAGACAAAAGACAAAAATCGCGGAGTCGACGTCGACCTCCCACCTCCAGATCCGAGACTCCTATTTGGGACACCGACACCACAATAGCCATGAAGATGCCACTGCTGACCCTCCGACGGAGCAGTGCTTTGCCCATCCTGGCACTAATCCTGTGCCTCAGTCCGCTGATCCAGGCGGTGCCCGCCTCGGTGCTCGCCCAGGACACGGAGCTCTCCACCAGCGCCAACCATAAGCTCCAGCTCCAGCAGCAGCAGCAGCAACAGCAGCTGGAAAAACAGCAGCAGCAGCAGCATCAGCAGCAGCAGCAGCAACAGCCGGCAGCAGGTGAGTGCCAAAGTACCAAAGTGCCAAAGTACAAAAGTATCAAAGTTCAGGTGGAGCTGCTACGCCCACAATCATAATGCCAAAGGTCATTGGGAAAATTTCGTTTTTCGAGTTTTTGAAAGTGAAAAATGCTTCGGCCCAAGGCGAAAATCTGCTTGTCGGCTGCGTGGGCGGTCATACTCTATTCTGATACTCGATGGAGAAGCATCCGAGCTCCCATCTTGAGGCTCATCTCATTTAGCATTTTCCATTTCCCATTTACCATTTCCCGCTCCTCGTTCGCCATTCGCCGTTCGCCGTTTTTCGCCAGGAAATTGCGTAGGTGTTTTGCACCAGGACGACAGCTGTCGCCTTCGCCAGCGATGTCCCTGCTGCTCCTTCCTATCCCCTCCTCCTCCTCCTCCTCTTCCTTCCACTTTCTGCATGTTTTCACAAATTTCCATCCTGCGGTTGTTGTTCTTACACTGGCTTAGTGAATCATTACTATCCCTACACTGTGAAAAACGCTGTCTTATAAGGAAACAGTTATGGGAAGCACATAAAATACAAAATCAAATATATTTTGCTTAAGAAAAAAAGGAAATTAAAATGCCTTTAATAACATAATAATCCTAAGTGATAGGAGTGGTATAGCGTTAAATATTTAAATTATTATTTTTTATTTGCTAAAGTGAAACATTTTATTTAAATGCAGTTTAACCTTAATCTGTAATAAATAAAACATTTTTGGGGCAAAGTAAAAAATTAGACTTTCATTTTTTAGAAATGCAGTGCGAAATGTGTTTGTTAAGCTAAGTTTATTAAAAAAATTTTATTAAAAATTGTGCAAAAAAAAATTTTGAAATCAATATATAAAAAAACAAACTGATAACAGATAATTTACATTCATTTCAACAGCCAAAGTAAAAAAAAATCTTGTTTGAGAATAGTTTAAACAAAATGTTTGGAAACATAACATTATAATACTTGTAAACTTCATTTTTTGATATTATTACTTTTTTTATATTTTTGTGTTTGTTCCATTCCAAAAATCAACGTCAAATGTACTTTTTTTAAAAAATAAGAATTTAGTTGAATCTTATCGTATGAACTATTACATTTTCCAGTGCATTTGATACAAATAAATTGAACAATAGAATTTGTTATAAAGGCTGATTAAATTTTTCGAAAACAATGAAATAAACTTTTTTACTATATTTTCTGTCTTTGGTAAAATCCCGAATTTCAACATAAAAATATGTTAAAATAGCTGTGATTTATAAAGAATTTTTAAAAAAGGAAACGCTAGCATTTTTTCCAGTGCATTTACACAGTACATATATGTGTGGCTAAAAGCTCACCAACACAGGCACACGGGAACATACAGCACAGTTAAACATCGCGTAGGCGTTCGCCATACAAAATGGCGGCCAGCCTCCTTTGCACACACACACACACACTTGTGCATCCAAAAATACACGTACAATGAGTGTGTGTGTGTGTGTGTTGGCCCTCCATGCTGTTAAAGTGTGCGTACGTGCGCGCGATTTCATTTCTATTTTTAGAAAGCGAGTTAGGCGAAAGTTTTACAGCCAGCCCTCTGCCTCCTGCGATTTCAGCATTTCTCTTTCTGCTTGCCTAGCATCGTCCATTCACCACAACTTGGGTGAAAGTGCCACCCACTTTCACCGCAGCACCCTTGAGCCCTTAAGTAGGCAGCCAGCAGCTCAAGCTGTTAAGCCTTTTCAATCCCATTTCGTCCGATTTTCGAGCGTGTACGTTATATTTATATGCAACACGTTCGTTAGCGACCTCAACCGCAGAAAGTAAAGAAGGCGGGGCTCTGGTCAAATGTCAATCGCCTAAAGCCAACGGCAGCCACATCAAAATGTCAAAAGCTGGTCCTGAAAAACGGGTATAAATTGAATTGGGGTGGACAGCCAATTAAAATGATAATTTAAGTGTAAATCACAGTCTTATAACCTTTTTTTTAAGACACTTCAAACTGTATTACAATATTATTACCCGAATTTAATCAATATACATTTATATTTATATAGACATTTGTGTTCTCTTGTTTTTTGAACTATATATATATATATATATATATATGTTATTTTAACTAATTATAAAAAAAATTTACTGAAAACTTTTAAACAGCTTTAGCTCTGATGGAGATTTAAATTTTTTAAGAGCTTTAAATATAAAGAGAAATCTTTAGAATTACAAAAATGTTTAGGACTTGAAAGTTTTTGTAGAACTTTAAAAACATTTTTGGCTGGAATTAAGTTTGTAGATATTTTTGTGACACCCCATAAAATGCGGGACATTTTCATTAAGTACTCTCATTTTTCAAAGCATACTTCAAGGCTCTGAGTCTCTTCAGGGAACTCACTAATAGATTTCGCCCCCACAACAGTTCGTCGTAAATAGATTTATTAAATCTTTGGGTGGGCGGAACTAGGGCCCCCAGTGTGTTTATTAAATTACACATGGCAGCTTAACGACAAAGGCAAACAGGATCAGCCTTCAAGTGTCCAGCTGTTGGCACTCCTGACACTCCTGACATCCTCTTTAAAATGCAAAGCGAAACAGGGTCCACCCTAGCGTTTAAATTACGCACCAACAGCGTCGGCAGTCAAGTGTGCACATTAAATATTTATAAAAGCAATAGCTGGCCATTCCTGTCACTCATCGACAGGCTATAAAATATTCAGGGGAACCAGAGAGTCCTGGGTACCAGGTTCGATACCAATCCGAAAAACCGCAGGCTCCCAATCGTTTGATAAAATATGTTCCATATGCCATGGTTGTTATTAAGTTATTTCTGGTTTGTGGCGAGAAAAGAAACGCCCAAGGACTTTGGCCATGGCGTTAATTGTGCTCATGTCTGTGTGGTGACTTGACTTTTCGAACAGCTGCTGGATTCAGGAGCCACCCAAAATGACCTCCCAACCACCCAACCACTGCGCATGTATGTGTGCAGAGAGCAAACAACTTGTTGATACTTTAACAGTTCAGTGAACACACTCTTGTGCAAAAAAAAAAGAAAAATAACGACGAGGCCGACGTCAGCAGACGTCAGAGCTGAGCCAGTTTATTTTTTGTTTTTCTGTCTTTATTTATTTATTTATGTAAGTACCCTACAACCACCCACCTACACCCACACACACACAAAAATCCCACCCCACATTTGATGGACATCCGAGGAGCAGGACATTTGCCACATATAAACATATTTAACGGGGGGACCACGAAATAAAAGCGAAACACGAGCATTGTTGGGCATTAAATGACTGCGAATTCTTGGAATCATTTAGCCGGAGGGTTTCTGGAATTGTTCGCCGTCACCAAGGACTCTAGGGCATTGCAAACTGGGTTACGTGCATCGTCCGTAGTCCGTAGTGCTTAAAGAATGTGCGTTTTTAACCACTTAGCTAGAATTTCATAACGCTGGAGTGTAGTTTCTTGGAAGGAACTAATTTTTCAAGGTTTATGAGTCATCTTAAAATGAAGAGTAAAATCAATATGGTTAAATATTATTTGGCTTTAATTACAAACACATTTTTATACCATTATTTGGAACGTGTAGTTACCATTTGTTGCAAACTGCTTGTCACTTTATTTGTTACATTTCCTGATAAAAAAGCTTAACCATGGCCAAATATACTATATTACCACCTGGCCCAGTCAATTGGCACAAGCTTATAACACATTAATCATTGGGGTCGTATAAATCATGGCTATTTAGGTATCTGATATCGCTGTTCCCAATAATCCACTATCAAAGGTGCGAAAGATAAGCCATAGATAGAGATTCCAAATAAACATAAAATTATATATATAAATATATCAGTCATATCAGAAATACTTAATCCTATGCTGGGGAGTTTAACGAGTTTTAGTCACGCCCCAGGAGGCGTACAAAACCAAAAGAGGGTGATTAAAAGGGTTTTTACCAAGGTTTTAGTAAAATTTGTAAAGCTGTCAAAAAGTATGCAATGAAAAATATAATTGTAGTTTTTTGTAATGAATTTGTAATACCAAATTGATACCAAATTTATATTGCATACTTTTAGACACCTTAGTAAGTAATTTTGCAAAACTACTAAATAAAACCTTATAGTTATAATATTTTTTTATTAGTATTAACTCATCAAAAAAACAATCTATTCTGTGCTTGTAATGAATATGTTTTTTAATGGTATTAGCTCATCAAAAAAATGTGAATAAGGATAATCAAATTAAAAGCGAGCTTCACTTTCATCTTTGAGTGACTGGGTTGAGAATTAAACCCAACCAATTAGTGGGCCAACTGTTGCGCAAAGAACCCCTTTAGATTGGTTGTTATCCAACCAGCATGAGCGTTGGGTAATACGATTAGAATTAATAAGGTCAATCCTTGATACCCATCTGCGTGTGGCGATGGCCTTCCCTCCATTGGGATTATATAAACATAAACATAAGCGTAAGCCCGGCTGTCAGGGCGCTAAAAGCAATTAGCGACGACCGAGAAATATGTTCGAGTGTATAAAACAATTATGGTACTCGTTTTGGTGGACGGCGGCTAATTGGTTTTGCGGTCACTTGGCAGCGGGGCGTTTGCTGCTGCTCCTGCTGCTGCTGTTGCGAATTTATTGAATCAGCCCGGGGAAATGGGAAATGCAAAATTGGAGTGCCATGGAAAATTACAATTTCAATTTGCTTTCTTTCCTCCACCTCCATCATCTCCACTTAGCGAAACGTTCCGAGGAGGCGAACGTTGTGCCCTCGGCGGACAAGAAGTCGAGTCCGGAAATTGTGCCCGCTTCCTTTAGCAATGCTCCATCGGCCCGGAATGCTCCCATTCCCGCGATCTCCTCCAGCCAACAGGTGCCATCCGGCATTTATGCCTTGCCCAGCAACGATGAGATCCTGGCCGCCGTGGCTGCCGCAGCCCAAAATAGCCAGCAGCAGCTGCAGGAGGAGCCCATCCCGCTGGAGGAGGCGGTGGCCAGCTCCACGATGCGCAAGCGGGGCGTCAACTACGAGTACAACCCGTACTTGTCGCCGGCGGCCAGCGACTACGGCAGTGATGTGCCGAATGGCGTTTGGTCGGATGACTACGAGGCCGCCGTTCCCGTCAGCTATGGCGAACGGGATCTCCAGGAAATCGATGACTACGTTCCAGAGCGAAGAGGTGGGTTAACCTGAACATTATTCCAACTTTATTTGAGCTTTGTACTCAACTTTTTAGTTTCACTTTATATTTAAAGTTAGGTTTAAACTTATTTAAGTGTAGGTAATTTAAGGTCCGCTAAAACTTTAAGTTTAATTTGAACATTGAATTCAACAATTTGGTTCAAAAGTCTAAATTAAACTTAAAAATTATACTATATCTCAGAATAAAATCATGCATACAATTTTAAAATTGGTCTAAGATTAATTCAAATTTTAAACGATAAACAGGCTATCTTATTTATATTATTTTCGATTTTAATTAGTTTTATAAAATAATTTTTGAATGTTTTTCAGTGAGTGGCTCGAGTGCGCGGAACAAGGCCTATGATAACCTGCAAAATCTCCTGAATGCCGAGGCCTATCTGGAGAGCATTCCCCTCTCGGTTCCGCTGACCTATGCCAACCGGAACTACAACTTGGATGACCGGAACAAGCGGGGTATTTACTACAACATGGGCGCCAGTGGTGCCAGTGGTGCAAGCAGCCTTGGCAGTGATAGTGGCTATAATAGCGAAAATATCAACCTCAACAAATATCGTCGCTTCAATGATATGCGGTGAGTTATTGAAAATATTTTAATATAAGAATATATATATAAGATATATTATATATATATAAGATCAAAATTTAATAGCGACATAAAGTTGAAGACTTTTTTGAGACAACACTGCGTATGTGTAATAAGTTTAAGTTATATCTTGCTAACAAACTCAGGCAATATTTATAAAAGTCTTTCAAGCTAATATTTAATTTATAGCAATAGAATTCAAGCTATTATTTAATATTTATAAGTACATTACTTTATTTGAGTAACAGGTTTAATTAATTAATTTAGTTCTTCACGCTGACAAACGCAGATTTTTAAACGTCTTTTAACTAATTTAAATTTTTTTTAATTTATCCTGTAATTTCAGTCTGAAACGCGACACCCAGCTGAATCCCGCCGACATGTTGGCCCTGGTTGCCTTGGTGGAGGCTGGTGAAAGGGCGCGGAAGGAGAGCGATGTGGAGAGCTCCGTGGCAGTGCCCATGATCGCCTCCGATGACCTTGACTATGTGCCGGCAAACAGTTGGATGGACGTGCCCGTACAGGCGCAACCCGCTCTGGTGGACTACTACGGAATGCCGCTGGACAACCAGAACCAGGTGATGCCCAAGTATGAGTACGTGCCACGCCAACACAAGTACACTGGAGTCAATAGCCGTAAGTTTCGGGTTAATAAAATAATATTTAAATATATTTAAATTTTTAAATATTTACCCAGGCTTTGGGGCCTCGAAACAGCGCTATATGGTGGCCAAGAAGAAGCGTTCCATTAGTCAGAGCCAATTTATGAATGAGCCCGTGGCCGAACGTGGATCCAGCTATAATGGCGAAAAGTACTTTTAAATCCAAAGATCCCAACGCATCGATAGTCTACTATATAGTATTTAATGATAGCCCACACAGGCCCCACGAAAAGTATTTCTCGTTTTTTCCAAAAAAAAAAACATTGATCATAAACATAATCCAAGGATAAAAAATCCACAAATTTTTCAATTCAATTATAGTAAATGAGCTAGTGTGTCAAGGTCAACTCGTGTGCAATTTTTGTGTAGAACTTCAATTTTAAACCAACACTAACAAGAATCAAATTATTGTTATAAAATATTATATGTCAAGAACATAATCAAATCAATGTTTTTAGTATGTCGAACTGGGTTCGATGATTTTCTCCCACGAAAACTAATCCTTAGTCTAACCGAAAAATGGAACTAAACCGAATCTAAAAGCCACTTAATCCCTGTAAGAAATCAATGTCTATGGCAAACTAAATGTACAATTACTAAGAAACCAGAGAAACCGCAACTATCTGTATCTACTTGTGTGTAATACTTATCGAACTAGAGGCTTCCCGACTAGTACAAAAAAATTGAGAGAAGAATGTTCAAAAATATATTATATATACTATATATATATATATATGTATATCGGATAGCAAACAATCGCCAAAAAATACGGCTAGTTATCAACTTTAATCGAGCTCAGATGCGACAATGGTCCCCTAAACCGCTTTAATTTAAAAAACTAAATATTTTTGAAGACGTATGAAGCCACCACATTGCGATTTAAACTTTTATATAGCCACGCGCCGACTTGCGGACAAATCGATCAAATGAGAAATGATGCTGAGAGTTTTAATCATATATATATACTGAATAACCGCAGCTAAAATATATATTAACTATACGTATACAATATGCAAACTATTTGTCAAAATTATAAGAAGTGGCTCAGGCATAAATATTTTAAATATTCTATGCCGAAGATGGAGAGACGTATTTTTAATTTGAATGAAAAATTGTCTGACTGTTTTTGGTAATAATCAAATATACATACATATAAAACATAAATTATATATTACTTATACAGAGTATTTAAAATGCATTAATAGCGTATATATGTGTGTGTGTATACAATACAATACAAAGAAATACATATATATATATATATGAACACTCAACTAACTATAATATTATATATATATTTTCCCTTACACTTTTTGGGTCTCTGAAAATTTGGCCTTTAATTTACGCCTTAAGTTCTTTACGCGAGCTTAATTTGAAAATACATTTATTTACAAGCAACTGATTTACGATTAAATAAAATACGTCTTTGGTTTGGAATCTGGGGGTTTTAAAAAAAGGGAGGGCTGCTGAATAAAATGGAAAATCAAATCATGGAAATGTGTCAATTTGAAAGCCTTACAACAATCATCAGTTACAATTAGGCGAATGCAATTTGTATTTTCAGCTACGCAGTAACCGCTTCTCAATGAAAAAGTCATAAAAGTCCATTTCTTTTTCCCCGTTTTGTTGTCAACCGAAGTTTTGGGGAAGAAAAAGTTAAATAATTGAAAATTGGAAGACAATTCAATGAAAACCAATTAACAACTAGACACATCAAGTGGAAAAAGTGGACTCCCAAACGAAGTGTGTGCCAAAAATTAAATAAAAACCAATTGGCCTCCGCACACGCGTTGACATCAATGGGGGGAATTCAGATGGGTTTCATCATCAGCCAGCCAGCACTTTGTTTTGTACTTCTTTTATGTTCCAGAGACAGAGAACCAAGCAGCCATGAAGCCATGAAGCCATCTATTGTGGCCACTGCAAATTCAACACAAAGTTATAGTTCTGTATTTCTGCTCCGGATGCTTTTGATGAGGTCCAATATTATGCAAACAGAAACGGGCTCTTGTCGGCCATAAAACAATGCCATATAAACAGTTGGGCAAATAAACAAAACACTGTGAGTTACAAAGCTGAGGTCCAGATATTTAAATTCATTTGAAATCGAACACTATTTTGCACTTATTTGAGAGGGGAGCAATGGAAAATAATTGTTATAATGACTACAAGATACACTTTTTTTTCGGCTGATTAACTGCAAATTTTCAATACTTATATGACTTGTTTTTAATTAATCAGATATTAAGCTTTCAGATATATCATAACGTATTCATATAAACTTTAAGCTTTTGTGTACTGTTGTACTTAAATTATTTTAAAAACTAATAACCAATGATGATGATTATGAACTAAGTAAATTTTAAATATATTTTGTACGATTTAAAATGAAATTTTTTTTAAATCTCAAACCTTTTCTAGAAAAAGCATAAAAGAAAAATAAAATTAAATAGCGAATGCAAAAAATTTAAAAAAAATCAAAATCCACGTTAAGTAGTTTGATTTTAGTTTTATGTCATATCTTATCACTCGTCATTTGCAGAGTGTGTAACACACATTAAACATCCCCGGCTTTATCCCAAATTGTTACCATATGGCCAAGGAAAACTAAATAAATACAAACAACAGAGAACAGAGAGAAAATAGCAAAAAAGCAGGCATTAATATGTATGGAGTGTGTTTTAGATGGATAACGAGTGCAAGAGCATTGGAGCCTGAAGTAAGAGGATTGGTGGGGTTGAAGCTACATATAGTAGATGCGGGTATGAATGGGAACATTTGCATATCTCATCAGCAAATGAGCAGTGACCAGAAAGAAAAACCTGCTATACAAAAAAAGCAGGAAAAAAATGTTCGAGGGTCTCTTAAATTCATTAAAATTAAATAAATAAGTCCATAAAATATACATTATATTTATAGTCCTCTAATAATAATTAATGAATCTCATTTTGTTGAATGCTCACGGGTCTTTCTCAATAGGAAGCATTTGTTTTAGCGAATTCCCCCCACAGGCATCACGATTTCGCACCTCTTATCATGAGATCAATCTGCTGGAAAACTTGTAAGATTGGCGTTAATTAACTTGCCAAATAGGAAATTAATATTAATTAATAAGCTCTCGGTATAAAAAACGCAAAGTGAAGGCAATAGAAACCATCAGAAAAACAGAAAAAAATTATACAAATATTTTTTGATACATTTGATTGGGCTTTTTTGATCGGTTATTGGGTCTAGATCGGCCCACCATATTTATACTAATTTCATGCACGCGTTTTGCATGTTTAATAAGCGCTTTATATGCGGTTTGCTTCTATTTACCAACTGTAGACGAATTTTTTATTTTTTGTTATTTTGCTTTTGACTTGAGTAATGCAAACTAATTGATGATTCTCCTTACTTATACAACATTTGATTGTATTAAATAGCAGGAATAATTAAAAGATCATCTACTTTGTAAAATTGTATCTTTTTTAAAACTTATTAAGTTTGTATCATTGAGTAAGATATTATTAATAATCTTAATAATTTTTCTAAATTTTATTTAAGCCTTTTGAATAACTCATTGCATAGTTTCTAAATAAATATTAGCGTACCGAATTAAACAGTTTTTATGAACTAAAAAGCTTACAACCTTTATATCACAAAGTTTGTGAATGAATTTCAAAACAAATGCGATCAAAATTAAATTAAAATTCCACCGGGATAGCTCATAAATTAGAAGCTTAAATTGTTATTACCCTTTCATTCATGAAGTATTTTGAAATTGGCCTAAACTCTGGTGCATATCATTGATATGCTGGCCAAGTTAAAATGCGTGGGCGTATTTGTAAAAGCCAACTTATCGGAGACCACCACCTAGTCAAGAAACCAACCACAAGTATCTAAAAAATAACGATGCAATCGAATGCAAAGCAAATGAAATTTTCTAAGAAGCGGGGAGTGGCGTTCGTTTGTTGTATTAAGGCATAGGAAATCGGGTTTTTTTTTAGATATCGGGCAGTATGACAAACAATTTTACGAACCCCAACACAAACACGCAGCAAAGGAATACGCGCCAAACGACAGGCAAGCCACTCAGAACCAGAGAACAAGATCCCAAAAACTCGGGACCCACCACCACCGCTACACTGGTAAAAAATTATGCAAAAAATATGACCGATTTTAAATTAAACATATTCCACACTATTTTCAATATTTGACTATTTTTTGGAAAGATTTCAGTATCTGAATATTTAATATAATTTTAAGCCTTATTAAACTTAATTAATATAAAGCATTTAAATCAAATATGACACATATTAAATCTAAAATTTTCCATTAGCTTAAAAATTTTGATTTTCAATTACGAAATTTAATATATAATATTCTCATTTTATTATATATATATATTTACAATACCATTTTTTTGTCAGTGTACAAAGTCGACCCAAAACACAGATACACACTTATACTTATACCAGTTTACGAGAATGTTTTTTTTTTTGGGGGGACGACGCACAAAATCAAAGAGTATTCCAGCTATTCGCTTCAGTTGGTGAGCAACTTTCGCAGGGGACGCACGTTGATTTCGGTTACGGATTCGTTCGGCATTTCGGTTTTCGACGCCCGAGAATATATCTCAATCTGTTTGAATAAACTATTAGCATTTTCCGGGTCGCCAGCTGCAGTTAAATCGCCAAGATGACGGATGAAGTGCCCGCCAAGGGCAGCATATTGGGCAGTAAGTCAAGGAATATACATATGGGGTCAAAATCTGAACCATCTGTTTCGAGATTGCACCCTCGAAATGCATCATCCGGTGAATGCAAAAGTGCAACAAGTGGGTGGTGGGCCAAAGCCTTTTGAACAAGGCCAAATATAAAGATACAACTTTGACCTCAAAACCGGCATAAAGGTCATTCGTGTGCGTGAGTTCCAGAAATCTTCCTTATTCTCCTTTTTGTGTGTAAATGTGTGTGTGTTTGTGTGTGTGTGTGTGTGTGCCATATCCTTTAGGTTTTAGGTTGCTGTGGCTTTTTTTAGATTACTACCCACGCGGCATATTTGATTTGTTTTTGGCGTTTTTATGCCCAGGGACTGATGTCCGGGCAAGGTCAAATGGAAGTCATATAGTAGATATAAACAATATTGGCATACAAAAATATATAGCCAATTTGTCTACGCGTTCGTACCGCCCAAAACAACCGCGACATTCTTGAAATTCGTCTACCTATCCCAATAAAAAAAAGGCGACAATGTTTGCCAAGCTTTTGAATGGGGTAAATAATAGTGTTTACTTTAATCAAAATATGCGAAAATTTCATGCGGCATTTGCAAACAAGTTCGAGTTTTATGATAAACGCTAGGCAAACCCCCAAAAGGGTTTACTTAAACAATTTCTAATCAAATATTTCATGCGTGTTTTATTTTTAAAATAAACGCTAGATGAACTAAAAGGCATTGCATTTATTTAATAATTCAAAAGAATTTTGATAACTTAACAAAAAAGTTGTGAAATATTTAATTCATTATTGTAAACAATTATTTGCCAGCGTTTTCTAATAATTAGAAGTTTGGTAATTTATCCCACCGTTGTGAAATTTATTTTAAATTTAATTTATGGCAAGCTTTAAAGTCAACACTGGGGTTATTTCAAAAACTGTAACCATATTGCATAGTCATTGCCATACTTATTAGTTGTAAACAATTAGTCGACAATCTTTCTATGTTTTTGAAAAACTCAAGATAAAGTCCACAAATAAAATTGTATAATTTTTATAAATTTATCAGCTCATTAATTTAAATTTTATTTTCATTTACCAAACGTGAAATATTTATACAATATTAGCAGTAAATGCCATTTGATCATGTTTAATGCAGAAATTATCCAGGATCAGTCGTTCCTATTTTAGCACTTGGGAGATTAACCCAACCACTTGAGCTTTACCACCAAGCCCCACCCAATCAAACAAGCAAATAAGTCTGGGGAGAATTTATGAATACTAACCAAGTGAAAGGTATTGGTGCTTCCCAGCATTTTACCCAAAGCAAATATAGATTAAGTAATGAAGGAAAGAAATTCTCAACGATGAAAGAATACTCTTCTAAGAAATATTATAGAAAATTAAATGTTTAAAACCATATTATTACTAAAATAATCTGTACACCCAACAAAAAAACTGAAAGTTTAAGTGTACAAGTCTTAATTCAATATAGCTCCTACACATTTTAGTTTAATTTCTTTGCCAAAGAGTCTAAAACTGTAGTCCTTGGATTTATTTTTAAACCACATAAGTTTAAAATTCATGAAACTATAATTTAGTTTTTATGACAATTTTTTATGGGTGTAGTATATACCAATGTAAAATAATTTTTTATACAAAAGCTAAATAAGTACGTTTTTTGGAACCACATAAAAAATACATATTTAAACAAACTTATTAATTTTATATATTAAGTAATAATTCTTCCTGTAGTATATACTTGGTTACTTTACTATTTTTTTGTATTCCTTGAGTACTCAATAACTTGATGGAAGCTAAAAAGCAAACTGCCTTGCCCATAAATATATCGAAAGAAAGTGTACATCTTAAGACATTGAGGGAATAATTCTCCCAGTATCGATGGAGCAATTAGCAAATATAAATAATCGTGTTGCCAGCTCGGAAGGCTCACTACTGACAGCCATGAAAGTGAAATTGAAAACAAAGGCCACAAATTTATAGGCGTTCTTATCGCAACGTACTCTCATAATTGCCAGACATGATAGCCCTTTTTTATATTTCAAAACTGATTATAATCGATATCGGTGCGCGTGCGGTGGTTCTATATACTGACCCTACTCAACTACCAATAATCAGTGTATCGGTGTCCATTTAGAACTCGTGGGTCACCAGGTGATTGATTTCCAAGTTTCCAAATTGTGTCATGTCTATATTAGACCTACTATTCTGTTTTTTGTGTGAATTATGTCAAACAAAAAAGTGCATAGTCTTTTTTATACAATTACATTATTAGTCTTGGAAAATAGGCATAGAGAATCGTACTTAATCGAATTTAATAGACTAGTTGTTCTAATCTTAACATTATTAAAATTGTTTTACTTTTAGTACTCTGAGATAAAATAAACTAATATAAACTAAACCTAATAAAATGGTATAGTAAAAGGAAATATCTGATTAATTTAATTTTAAAATGTTATGTTTAATACTAAAATATTGCAATTGAGTACAAAATATTTAGATTTACTAGTTTTTCTTTCACCAGTGTACTTTAGTTTCACTTAATTAATTTAAAAAAAATATATTTTAAATTATAAAAGCTCCCATTTTTCCCAATTACAGAACTCGTGCCCGCCCGCTATGTGTTGGCTCTGCTGGGCTCCATTGGCATGGCCATTGTGTACGGCCTGAAAGTGAATCTCAGCGTGGCCATGGTGGCGATGTTGAATCACACGGCCATCAAGGCCCACAACGAAGCATCCAGCTTGCACGGCGGGGTGACGCTATCGAATGTCAGCCATGTGCCCTCGGTGGAGGAGTGCCATCCGCCGGGAGGAGCCAGTACCAGTAATGTGACGGTTAAGGTTGAGGACGGACCCTTCGACTGGAGTGAACCCCTGCAGGGAACCCTGCTGAGCTGTTACTTCTGGGGTTATTTGGTCTCCCAGATTCCGCTGGCCCATGTGGCCGAGAACTTTTCCGCCAAGTGGGTTATGCTCTTCTCGGTGGCCATTAATGTGCTGTGCACTCTGCTGACGCCTGTCTTCACCAACTTGCATTTCGGTGGACTGATCCTGATGAGAGTGTTGGAGGGAGTGGGCGGAGGAGCCTCTTTTCCGGCCATGCACGTGATGATAGCCTCGTGGGCCCCGCCCACCGAACGCATGGTCATGTCCACCATCATCTATGTGGGCACCTCGGCGGGCACTGCCCTCTCCATACTTTTGGCCGGTGTCTGCTCCGCCCAATGGGGCTGGGAATCGGTGTTCTATGTGATGGGCTCGCTCAGCTGCATCTGGATGTTGTTGTGGGTGATCCTGGTGCAGGATAATCCGAATAAGCAGCGCTTTATCAGCCCGGAGGAGCGGCAAATGATCACCAGCTCGCTGGGCACCGAGCAGAAGGGCGAAGGGCACCATCCGTCGGTGCCATGGCTGAAGGTCCTCAAGTCAGTTCCCTTCTGGGCCATTCTCATTGCGCACACGTGCAGCAACTTCGGCTGGTACATGTTCCTCATCGAGATCCCGTTCTATATGAAGCAGGTGCTCAAGTTCAATGTGGCCAGCAATGCGGCACTCAGTGCCCTGCCCTACTTCCCCATGATCATCTTCAGTATCTGCCTTGGAAAGCTATTGGACAGCCTTCAGGCTAAGGGTAAGCTACTCCATTAACAAACCTAACTTTCTGTAAACACCAAATAAAAATTAAAAATAATATAGATTGTATACTTATGTTGATGCTTAAGTTAGTATCGTTATAGTTTTTCTGCTTTGCAAGTGAGATTTTTTAAATTTTGAATTCGAAATTACAAAATTAATAATAAAAACGGGTCCTAAAGTTATCCTTTTTTAAGAAAACTGTTTTACATAATTTTAAGGGACTCAATCATTTTTATAATATTAAAACAATTTATTTATACAATTTCTCTTGAAATAACAGGTAAAATCAGCACCACTGTTGCCCGGAAGACGGCCACCTCCATTTGCACTTTGATCCCCGGAGTTTGTCTGCTGGTTCTCTGCTACATTGGATGTCTGCATTATGAGGCCGTGGCCGTCATGTCCGTTGGCATTGTGGCCATGGGTTCCATGTTCTCCGGCTTCCTGTCCAACCACATCGATATTGCGCCGAATTTCGCCGGAACTCTGGTGGCTCTGACCAACACGGCGGCTACTTTACCAGGTATTGTGGTGCCCCTTTTCGTGGGATTCGTCACCAAGGGAAATGTAAGTGAAATCATCTTCATCTTATCTTCAAACATTAATGTTCTTTTTAATTTTCCAGCAAAACATTGGAGCCTGGCGCATTATTTTTGGAGTGACCATTGTCCTGTTCGCCATTGAATTCCTGGTATTTGTCTTTTTGGGTTCTGGCACCGAGCAGCCGTGGAATAAGTCAGGATCTCCCAAGGATCCAGAGGCCAAGGACGAAAAGACACCGTTGAAGGAGCTCCCCACCAAGCCCTAAAGCTATAATCTCTCTGCGATTGCCCTGCCTAAATTACTCGATCAACTGCTGCTTATTCAGATAGCTCTGGGATGAAATAAAACAAAGCAAGCACCAAATGAAATGTATATACCAATTACAAATTATACAATGCCCTCTTGAAATGGGAAACTCTTAAAAATCGAATTTTCATTGTTATTTCATATTGATATAAGGACAAAAAACTTCATTGTGAAGCTCAAACAATTTTAAGAAATTTTTTTAATTCATTTTTTATGAGTTCTCTATTTAGAGAGTGCACTGTAGTTTTTAGATCGCTGTAAACCCTATAGTTAGTAGCCGTACACCATTACGGATAAACACTTCAGCCCGCCTAATGTACTTAACACTCTTGATTTCAAAAGTTGTCTACAAATAAAGCGCCGTCTTAGTGAATGCATTCAGTTTTTCTTAACAGATTGGCTGGGTGGCAAGGGAATATTGATTTCACCTTCAGTTTATATGAAAAAACCAGGTGAATGCCCTTATTATTTGTTTAGTTTTATTTTTAAAACAAACAAATGGCATTTTTCAAGTGTTTGAGTAAATCTACAAGCTTTTTGATATTGACATAAAAAAACATGTCCCTGTAACATGTTCTGTAACCTCTAAACATTCTAAACAAGCCTTTGTTATATATTTAAAAAAAAATGTATTCTTGATAAAAAACTTAAATAATTTTTTTGAATTCCTATGTATTTCAAATTTCAAGCGTCCTTAATGCTTTCTTTTTTTATGAATGGTTAGCATGATATAATATTATATTATGTTTAAATATAAGTTAAATTTTCCTTTCTTGTTCATCAAAATTAAAAATTATAGTAATTCAAAATCTAAAGAAAATAATTGTTTTCAGTAAATACTATATTTAACCGAATAACTTAAAGGAGTTTCAAATCTTATAATTAGCATATTAGACTTCTTTTCTCCCTTTTTTTACTTAGACTTCTCTTATCAATTTTTGAATAGCGATATATTTGTAGCGCCAAAACTCAACTCGATAACCCCTCCAACATCTATCGATTTTCCTGCGGAAACATATGATTTGTACATAACAACTTTGCCGGTTTCACAGCATATTGATATTGTATAAAATGTTAAAAGTTCGCAGCATTATCCTGCTGCCAAGGAGATGGAAGAGCGGAGCCAAGAAGCGATGGAACCTCGTGCAGAACAAGAAGAACAATTGCGACCGGGCAATGGATAACTTTGATGATTTCTACGGCAGTGTTTACGGCAGCCGATGGAAGAACATGCGGGCAGCGCTTCTAACGAGGCACAAATACGTTGCCATGGTGAACAATTTCGGGGACACGGAGCAGACATGCAGCATGCTGGAAACGGATGGAGCCATCAACATGAAGTCCCTGATTAATCTGGCCCAGGATCGTCTAAAGAATGGTGTGGCAACGATGCCGGAACAAGGCAAATCCCGTCATGAAATAGAGGGTAAACTAGATGCCCTACTCCGAAAGCAGCAGGAACGTGAAGTGGCCTCTATTTATCCGAGTTCTGGAGAGGATGGTTCAGCCACAGCACTGCCACAACAACTGAAGTTTGATAATTTAGAGGAAAAGCTGCCAGAGGTGGAGGAAATCCATAATCCCTTTAGGCAAAGCTTAACCAAGGCTTTGGAGGAAGATGTAAAGCTGGATGAGCATCGTTTGGTGGATCCACAGTTCGGCACTGGCGGACTCTATGAATATATGCCCGCTCACAGCATCAAGGGCATGGAGGATTGGGTGGCGGAGTCGGAGCACTATAAGTACTATCAGACCAGTGCTGATTTCCCGCTCACCATTGAAAAGGAGCCTTCGTTTCACTATCCCGAGCATCTCTCTTTGTACACCTATGAAATGGGCAATTGCTCGGACTTTAAGGGGCCCAAAAAGTGCTTGACGGGAGTGCTCTCCCACTTCATGATGGATGGCGCCTCCACTTTGCCACCGCTTTTCCTGCAGGTGCAGCCCGGTGAGCGAGTGCTCGATGCCTGTGCCTCTCCTGGCGGCAAATCGCTGCTCATGCTGCAGACCCTTCACTTGGACCACCTCGTCTGCAATGACATCCAAGAGTCCCGACTGAACAAGCTGAGGAAAGTGATGCAGGAGTATCTGTTTGATTATAAGGAGCGGTGGGCGGGCAAGCGGCTCATCTTCAACCAGAGCGATGCTCGAAATCTGGACCAGTATGAGCAGTTTGACAAGATCCTGGTGGATGTGCCCTGCACCACGGATCGCCATGTGGTAAACGAGCAGGACAATAACATCTTTAAGCCAACGCGCATTAAGGAACGCCTGAGGATTCCCGAACTCCAGGCAGGCATCCTTTCCAACTGCCTGCGACTATTAAGACCAGGTGGAAGCTTGGTTTACTCCACCTGCTCGCTGTCGCCCATTCAAAACGATGGTGTGGTTCACATGGCCCTGCAGAAGGTGTTCACGGAGCATGGCATCACCGCCACCATCAAGGATCTGAGCCAGCACACGGCGCTCTTCAGCGATGTCTTCAAGTTTGAGCACCCAAAGGGTTTGAAGTATGGACAAATGGTAGTGCCCTACCTGCCGGCCAACTTTGGACCCATGTATTTCAGTAAAATAACTAGAAATGTTTGAGAAACTAAATTAAAGATGAATGTTAAAGCTGTAATTTGAAAAAAGATTTCAACGTCTACCTAAGTTGTTTGTTTTTAAAGCGGATAATTTAAATATATACCTATATACTTCTAAATAGGTAAATGACTTAATTGATTGACTTGATTTTTTAACTAAATCAATGTCTTTTTAAAATTAATATACTGTTTTCTTATGTCAGCAGTATAAAAATTTGTATCTTAAATGATTTGTTTGGAAGCGGGGCAAATATAATCATAGAACACCTATTTTCGAAATTAATCAAATTCTATTAGAAATTAAAAAGTACCTTTATATTGAATATACTGTTTCGTTCAACCAGCAGTATTTGCTACTTCTAGAATTACATTTGCTTGTCCGTTTTCTTTTTCTTTTTAGATTTCACTGGCAAAGGACCGGGGTTCTTGAAAATTGTACTGCAAAAGAAAAAGGTCATTTATGAGTAGAGTTCAAGGAAATTACACTATCAATACTCACTGGCAAGTGGTGCAAATTGGACTGTATTTGCAGAAGACGGACAGACAGACCGAGCAGACATAGCCAATGTCGATGAGCTCACGATGGCAGAAACAGGAGGCCCGGTAGTCCACTTTGGGCGGTGGCGGCAATACCAATTTGTGACGAATTTGCGGGGCGGGCAGGAAGACCCACAGGAGGTACTGCAGCAGGCCATCCAATTGGGTGACCTTGAGGAACTGTCCGGCGGTAATATCACAGCCCTGCTGGAGCAAACTGAGTGTCTTGTCCAGGGCGCAGGTGTCTATCACAATGCCCAGTTTCTGGGCGGTAAAGAAGACATTCATGAAGGTCATGTACTGGGAAGCGCACTCATTGCTGCCGGTCAGGACGAGGATGCGGGAGTGCATCTTGACGCCAGGTGCCACACTCCTTTGGAGCTGTAGGGGATTAGTTTTGGATTGATTACTAGTCTTAAAAGGTCATCCTTAGGGCTATCAATTACCCTAGATATATAGCACAGTGCCATGGACATGCTGCCGGCCAGGAGACTCTCACAAGGAGCACTAAGTCGTGGGGCATTCATCAAAATGCTGCCCAGCTGCTGTTTCACTGTCTTCTCCACCAGACTGAAGGCCTCATATTGACCATCCACTTGGCGCAATTCCACTTGTCGCCGGGGCAAAGGATACAGGAAGTTTCTGCAGGAATTAAATTCATTTAATATAAATATAAAGGGTTAAGCAGACAACTTACGTGGCATGATGGGAGCAGGATAACACAGCCAATTTGTTTTGGGCCTTTTGCATGAGGTGCGCATTCCCGAAGGCAATCACCGCCTCCAGGATTTGGGTGAGGTTCTGCGGGTTCTGGCGCACAATGTGCTGGGAAGGATTCGTGTCCAGCACGATGACCAAGAGGTCAATGCACGTTTCGGCTGCAATTTGGCTATTTTAGCAATTTTTTACAGGTATTTAGTTGGGTTTAAACACGCACCTTCTTTGATGGCTGCTGCTTGATCCGCTTCCATTTTCGCCGGCAATGTTATCGGTAGAGATGCACTGTAATCGATGTTCCATTTTCGCCGGCAATGTTATCGGTAGAGATGCGCATGCATTCGATATTTTAGTAGGGCGCTTCATATATCGGTTTTCTTTTTCGCTACTCAAATTTTAAACATTCAAAAATAGTGAACTTGAATCGCTGATAATGGAGAAAATATTTTCACAAAATTATTCCTGATAATTGCCGATTTGCTGAGTTGCTAAACTTTATTATTTTGCATTTTTTGGGACCTAATAACTTGCTTATATGTATTTTTTTTGCTGGATAAAGCTGTTATTAAGCCAGAAATAAGAAAAAGTTTGCTTTCCAAATTGAGCAAACAACAATTAAAACATGCTGCGGTACAAGCTACTACGGATTTTTATTTTTTCTTAATAAAACACGGTCCGAGGTTGTTAATTTGCTGAAATAGTTGTTTGTATGGGACAGCTGGCCGAACTAAAGCGATTTACATGTTTAGTCGTTTTGGAAATTTAAAAGACAAAGCTATCCCAAAGAGATTAATTTTCCTTAAATAACAATGCTATCCACATATTAAAAAATAAATATATATAGGCAACATGAAAATCCCCGTTTTGTCCACCTACTATCTTTCCAACCTGGAAGTGCCACCACTATCGATAGACGCACTGCATTCGATATCGCAGTCTATCGTAATATTTGCTGGGCGTTTCACAATTTTTTTTGTGAAACAAAACAAAGCTCTTTAAAAAGGACAAGATGTTAGTTTTGGTACTTGGCGACCTGCACATTCCGCACCGATGCAGCAGTCTGCCGGCCAAGTTCAAGAAGCTGCTGGTGCCGGGCCGCATCCACCACATCCTGGCCACCGGGAACATTTGCACCAAGGAGTCCTACGACTATCTGAAATCCCTGGCCAACGATGTACACATAGTGCGTGGCGATTTCGACGAGAATCTCACGTACCCGGAGCAGAAGGTGGTCACGGTGGGCCAGTTCCGGATTGGACTGTGCCACGGCCACCAGGTGGTCCCACGCGGCGATCCCGAGGCACTGGCCCTCATCCAGCGACAATTGGACGTAGACATCCTCATCACAGGACACACGTACAAATTCGAGGCCTACGAGCACGGCAACAAGTTCTACATTAATCCTGGATCAGCGACCGGTGCCTTCAATCCGCTGGACACCAATGTGGTGCCCTCGTTCGTTCTCATGGACATCCAGAGCACCACGGTGGTCACGTACGTTTACCAACTGATTGGCGATGAGGTCAAGGTGGAACGGATCGAGTACAAGAAATCCTAGGGTCCCAGTATTAGCCACCAGCCATTCCCAAACCTCACAACATACCCCTTGATCCCCGCGAGCTTGGCTTTATTAAACAAATTGTAAATGTACGTAGCAATAAATCAAGTTCACATTTTTTTATCTGATAAAAATAATGCTGACATTTCATTTAAATAGAAAATAAAATTATGAACGAATCAAGAATGTTTTTAAATTTTAATGAAACAAAATTGGGTTTTTTTTAATTGGGTTCAGTAAGAAACTTTTATACCTCCTTAAAAACTCCACCATTTATCTGATAAAAAATGTTTAAATTTTATTTAAATAGAATATAAAAAAGAGTTACATCTGATGATCGGGTAAAGAGTCTGCTTCAAAAGTTCGAATTGGGTGCTCAGTTTCAATACACACACTCTCGATATAAATACATTGGGTTCGGTTGTTTTGTGGCCATCGCTTTTCCATCGAAATAAATTATATAAATACTTTCCACTAGCCAGGATAGCAAAGTTTTGGCAACATCATCTCGTCATTACGAAAAGTTTGGTTTAAAAATCTCTGAAATACGAACATTTTGCGCTTATAATTAAATACAATTATGATTGCTGCCTGGCTAATTTTGCTGATGATAGTTGGAAAAGCAACGGTTGGGATTCCTTTAAAGGGTATCCATATTAACCGAGGCTGTCCACGCAAACAGTCTTGAGGGTCTTGCCGGCAATGGTGGTCTTATACTGCTCTGGTAAAGCCAATTCGGTCTGGAAATATAATACAAAATAATTAATAATTTATACAAAGCAAATAGATCAAATATAAACTCACATAATCGCCGGAGTCGTCGGGCAAGAGAATGTTCATCTCCGACGACTTGGAGTTGACAATCTCCACTCCAAGCGAATCCTTGGACAGATACATCTGGCAGCCGTCGGTCTTGTCGATCGACACCGTCGGCACCGAGCCGAGCACCTGCATCTGGACGCTCTGGCAGTTGACAAACTCCACGGAGGCCACCACCGAATCAAACAGCAGCGAGCACTTCTTGCAAGAGTCGAACACAATGTTGTTCACCTTGCCCTTGACGGTCAACGTGGATCCCTCGCAGCGGAACACATACACCACGTTGTTCATCTCGGCATTCTCCACCAGCAGCCCGGTGTTGTTCTTCTGGTACTCAATGATCCACTTCTTGCCATCACGCTCGAAAACGGGCGCCTTGGCGGGCGCACTTGAAGGAGCGCTAGCGCCTTTATTACCGCCCACTTGGGCTGGCGTTTTGAAGGGAGCCGGTCCTGTGCGCAGAGAAGGATTTTTATGGGTCTGCATCTCCCCAGTTACCTTCTTCAAGCCTGTAAAGTTAACAAATATTAGTTATATTATATAACTTAGTGTTATATTAAATTCGACAGGTACAATTCCATTTTGTTTTCCTGTTGTGCAGTTTTTCTCTTCACTACTTACTCTTGGTGATGTCGGCACCCTGGTTAATCTGGGCAAACAGTGCGCTACGATCATCTCCGGCGCTGTCCAGCTTGAGGGCACTCAGATCCAGCATGGGAGGCGGTGGGGGCAGACCACCAGGTGGTGGTGGTGGCGGAGCACCGCCCGAGGGAGCAGCTCCCTTGCCGGACCAAACCAGACCGGTGGTGTGATACTGCCGGATGTAGGCCTGCAGCTCGGTGAGCGTTTGCACCCAGGCGCGTGCCCACTCCACGTGCTTCACGTCCTTCTCCTTCCACTCCTTCAGCACTCGGTTCGTGTAGAACTGGCCGGCATCGTTCATCTCCTTGACATACGGACCGGGCGTCTTCTCCACGCACACCCAACCCAGGGCGGGAATGCTCTCGCTGATGGCCGACAGGTGGTTGAACAGGGCCGAGGAGCGATGCTTCTCGCGGAAGTCCTGGATGGCGCTGATCTGCGTCGAGGTCGGTTTCAATAGCTCCGCCTGCTTGGGCTGCGCCGGCTGGGCAATCTGAGTGGCCAGCGTCACGTACTGCAGTTGGAAGCTGTGTGTAAAGAAAGCCAATGATTAGTTTATATTTTATTATATAGATTAAATAGATATACAGATGCGGTCTAAATAACAATAGTGGCACTATGTAAAGTGCATAATGGCATATAACAAAAGCTGTTATTGTGGTTGCCTTATTTAAAGTATTAACTTTACGACAATATAAAACATTTTTAAAAAGTTGCTTATTTTTGAATACTTTTTAGCTATCTGAAATATTATACCTATGTTCTTCATGAACTATGAGCTTCATGAAACTGTATACATTTTTTTTTAACTGGCTTTCTAACTATTTGTTATTGCTTTTTCCATAGGCTAGTTATATACTATTATTTTGACCGCAGCTGTACATGAATGACTCATTTAGGCTGACTCACTCAAAGGCGCTCTTTACGAGCTCCGCATGCTGGGCCACATCGCCGCCAATTTGGGCGGATAGGGATAGATATTGGCTCAGCGGACCCGCCACAATGTCCTCGAATCCGGCGACACTCATGTTGCTGCTACTGCTGCTGCTGCTGCTGGGCGGTAAAGGAGGTGGTGGTGGTGGTGGCGATTCTACTTTCTCTGCAACTGGAAGAGCTTCTTCTGCAACTTCTGCGTCTTCGGTTCGCGGGGGCGGAAGAGTGGGCGTGGGCAGTTCAATGGGCTGGGGAGCCGTTAAAGTGCGTTCCAATCGGTCGACGAGGGTCTCCAGTCGCTCGCAAATGTTCTCCAAGTGGTGAACAGCAGCCGTGGGCTTGGCTTCCGGCTCGTTATCTGAACCAGAAAAAGAAAATAATTAAATACTTGCTTGACAACTAATACTTATAATAACATTGAGTTTTAAAAAGATGAATACTAAAGTGAAGTGATGTTTCAGCGTGATAAAAAACCCCCGTGCAATCACAATATCTTAAAAACTTAAGCTTCCCGAGAAGAATCTCTCATCATGAGTTTGTGGATGATTAGATGATGTAGGACAAAAAAAAGTGCACTAAACACTTATTAATCAAAAATGCAATAAGAGAGCTAGTCCCAACGAGTGAAGTTGATAAAACTGCATGCAAAAACGTCACAAAGAAAACTAAAAGAGAAAGTGACTAAATTGAAACCTTTAATAAAGTTACTCGACTTGGATTTCTTTTGGGCATTTAGAAGATAGGAGAATTTCTAAATTAACATACCCTTCAAAAAGCCTAGATTTCAAAACCCAAGCCAAGTAACTTTTTTGATATTTTAGAGCGAAAATAACAAACGAATCGGACTCTATCGAAGCTCGCATACCCCGCACGGCCACGCTGTGCTCCACAGCCGCGTGAGCAGCCCGCAGGAGCTCCGTGTAGAGACGCTGGCGCTTGAGCTCCAGCTCGTCGCGTCCCACTGGAGTGACCGGTGGCTCGATGCAGCCGCTGGACATGGAACGACGTCAAAGGAGGCCACATTCAAACGAAATCAATAAAGGGAAGGCAGTGGGAAAGGTCAATCTGTTCTGGCTTAAACAAAACTTGTTCGATTCTTATTCTAAAATTATTTTTACAAGAACACTTTGTAGTTAATTGGGTTGCCCTGGCGGCTCCTTTTTTTAGTTTAAAAAATTCCAGTAAATTTTCTAGTTAAGATATCCTCTTTACCTCACTTGTAACTTTGAAATTTTAAATATTTTCAAATAAAAAATATGATCAAATATATATGTATATTAATATATGTTTTTTTATATATATTTTATGAATTGGTTTTAACATTTTAGTAGTTTTCCTTATAAAAATTCCCAAAAATAGCAAATTATTGTGCACTGCATCTGAGGGTAACTTTCCATAGTAAACTTTAAATGTAATAAAAATTCTGTGGTTGTTTTAATTAAATTAGCTACTCCTTAAGGTACAAAAAAATGTCTATAAATTATATATTATTAAAAAAATCACTTCTGTATAAATCCAAACAAATTTCGTTTAGCCAGAACAAAACTTTAAGCATACATCTCATTGAGTCGCTCATCGTCGAACCAGGAGGGCAGTCCGTGGGCAAAGAACAGGGTCTCCGAAACAACATCCCCCCCCTCGATGTATGGAGCACACATGCTCTCCCGCTTTGGAGGAGGCAGTGAGTCGGAGAACACCTCGTCGTCGTCCAGCAGGGAGTTCTGATTCTGGCTGGCCAGCAGGAGTAGGGGCAGCGGATCCGGCTCAATGATCTCTGCCCGATTGCTGATGTTCACCTTCTTTTTGATTGACTGATGCGTGGAGTTGTGGCGGGACAGGCAGCTCTTGGTGGGCGGTGGCTGGGGTGGTGGTGGCGTGGTTGGAGTAACTTCAGCCGCCGCCACCACCACGTCATCCGACTCCTCCGCATCGCCGCTGGTCATCGAAGCAGGTGGTGCCGTGGATGTGGAAGAGTGCGTCGAGCGGGCTGCTGTCGCCTCCGTTTCCAGGTTCTTTGAATCTGGAACTTGTGCTGGTGCTGAAGAAGTTGCTGGTGATTTGTCAGCCTGAGTTGGTTGGGCTGTTGGAAAGTGTTGCTTAAGATTACTCTACACATCAAGCTTGAAATACACAGAGACGTTCATCAAGAAAAGCACCCATACTTAAGTTGATTACTTCACTTTAGTCTTGGCTTACTTCGCTTCCTGTTTTCATTATTGTCATTTAACGCTTTTAAAAGGCTTTTTCAATTAACAACCATGATGTCATGGTCAGTGATAGATTAAGTAGTTATTTATTTATTGCTTATCTCGCATGGAAAAGCGTTAGCATAAAATAATAGTAATAGAAAACATGGTAACTTAGAATCAAAAGTTGATAGATAACAATATTTTATTGATCAAAGATAATATTTTTGACTAAGAAATTAGTTGTTTTCAATTAAAAAATTATTATTTTTGACAAATAAAAAAAATGTAGACTAAAAAATTGACATATTTTGACAAAATGATTAAAATATTTTGAAAAAAAACATAAATTTTGACTACAAAAATTTATTGTTTTGACTAAAAAATTTGTTATAATATTTTGACTTCTTTTTCATGGCTAAAAGAAAACATTTGCTATATTTAGTATCTCATTATTTGTTTGTTTGTGTCTGTATTAATTATACCTAAGCAAAACAAATAAACGATACAAATTTGGAGAACATTATGACCTTCATTTCTGTTTCTATATTTGTAAGCTCAACTGTAAGTACTATATATTATATATAGTATATTCTACTATACTAATAGATACACTTTGATCGATGTGCACGATTTTAATGTTCAACACAGATATGTATAGTATGCACTGTCATTAGCTATTCCTCATTAATCAACTGCGTATCGGTGCTATTTCTGATATATCTCAAAAATATAAAATTAACAGAAATAAACCCAAGAAAGCACAGTAGAGAAAACTTAAAAGTGAACTGAGAAGGGCACTTAAAAAGCCTTTGAAGTAGTTTAAAAAGAGCTAAAAGTAGTGGTCGGCTGCATAATAATAATAATGCATGGGACGGATAACCGGCCGGATACGGTGATTCGTTCCGGAGAGCAGACAAAAGCCGACACAGCTGTTGAGCTCAAAAGCCGGAGAGTACATAGAGTGGTTTGTATATATAATACTTAGGCTTAGGTCTGCTTCAATACCAGTGAGGTTTGCCTGGGTGCCTTCATCCACAGGATTATGCGCTTTTGTAGACGCCTTTTCTGGTTTCGAGGGTTCCTCTTTGGCCGAATCCTTTTGGATATCCTCCTGAATCTCCGTTTTTCCATTCAGCTGCGGTTCCCCCTTTTCGGTGGCCTTTTCTCCATCCTCCTCGATGTTTTTATCCTTTTTCTTGGGATTGGAACGGCAGCAGGAGAACATTTTTGTAGGCGGTTTTCTTCGATTCAACACTCTAAATACGAATCAAGCACATTATGTAATTTCCGTTACTGTATTCCGGAGGATTTCACGTTTTGCTGAAGCAGCGGCGGTCACAACACTGGCACATCACATCAAATTAGCAGCAGTCATATAAATTTTAGTGCTTTCGAAAGGTGACGGCGGCCACTCCTTGCTCATTTAGCATTGTGTATAGTTGAACTTCGACCGAATATATTGGCACATTAAAATGAAGAGCAGGACTCCGGACCTGAAGACCTCCAACTGGGTCAAGTGACTTCCAAACACAGGACTAAATGACACACAAATGCGATTACACACGGCGAACACACCCTAAACGAAGCGCACGCCCACGCACTCGGATTCCGATTGGGATTCGGTTTTGGTTTCGGTTTCGAGTTCGAATTCGAAGTTTTGATTCGGTTTTTAAACAGGACTCTGTTAAAAGACCTCTGTTAACTTTGGTTGCCTTTTTTGGTACAAAGCGCTGCTGCTTTTGACCATTTCAGGCCAGTCAACGGCTTGGCAATGAAAATGTGTTTGATTCAATAACCGCTTTATGGCCTGGCATGCAGGATTTTATGCAAGCTTCGAAATCTTGCACATTTTGCAGCAGAGAAAGCTTTAAAACTCAAGCCGGAAAATGAGAAAACTCTCTGAGAGAGTTGCGCAAACATTAATTTGATTTTTAATATACCCTTACAGTGGATACTACAGCTAATGTTAACTATTGAAGCAAGGTAAAAACCTTACCAAACCCATAGTTTTATTGGCCATATAAGAAAAGATAACTTTCCTTAAAAAAGATTGTATTTTTGGGAGGGTTAATAACTACCATTTATTAAAAAAAAACTTTCCAGAAAAATAGTTTGTAATACAAATATTTACTGCAATTCGAAAGAAAGTTGAAAGTAAAGGGCAAGGGTATAAAAACTTTGACTGCCCATAGATTTCTGTCCCATTTGCGCATGTTTTTGTTTTTTAGCCTTTGTTGCAATGAGTTTATTGCACCCGTAATAGTTGTTTTTGTCTTAAAGTAGCTTTAAACAAATGACTGGGCAACAAGAGTGCATTAGTATCGTGTCTTAAAGAGGAAGAGGGGCTTTTCACGAGATAAGTAAACCGAGATTCAACTTTCGCCTGGCGATACTAGATCGTGTAGTTGTTTTTGCAGCAGATGCGTTTGTTGCGTGCAAAAAAAGCAGAAGAAAAAAACTAGAAATCAAGAAGATTAAATGTCTGCAGCTGAACAACCGTTATTTTAAACGACTAAGTGTGAGTGAGAGAGCTCGAATTACAAGTAAATGAGGGGAAAATGGTAAAAGGAAAACTTAAGATCTGCCGCCTTATAAGGCCAGGCATTTATTTTTTTCCCCACCGGAATCGAACATAACTTGTAATCTCACTTCTCTATTTTCAATCGAAATTCGCTGATAGCGTTTTTTGGCCAACTTTATTTTCTGAGTCATCCGCATACAAACACAAACAAATGGGTTCGGTCTTGCGTAAACTATATAAGTTTATATATATTTTTTTCGGTGTGTGAGTCAGCGAAAACAACAACAACAAAATGGCCGAAACAGCTGAGTAGTTATTTCTTATCGAAGGGGTTAACATACCAAAAAGGCACCTGCTTGAGGGTTAATTTGCATACAATTGCTGGCAATTAATTAGTGCTGGTAAGTGGTATATGAAAAACCATGGAATCGGATATGAAATCATCGTTAAAAATACACTATATAGAATTTAATTTTACAAACAAAATGAATCACACAAAAATAGCCATCTCACAGCTGTCTCTTGTCTTTTTTTTTGCTCTCTTTTTATTTTATTTGTAGTACATGTATAAACACCCACACACACACTTGCTCAGGGGTTAACCCTTCCCCTTCCCCTCTTCCATATAAATTCAGTAGACAATTTGGGCCGGCGAATTAGAGAAAAATGGCTTGCAAAAAAAACAAAGCCCCGCTTTATTAAACGCTGTGCGACAGAGAAAGCGAATAGCTGGCATTACTCACCTCTGTTTTTGGTGTTGAATTGGCAATAGATTGCAGTTTTTACTTTTATAGAACCGACGAGAACAGAAGACGAATTCACAAACCGGCAAAGGCGAAAATAATAGCAAACTTGGCGTGGTTTTCGGTGTGACCAGCTCAGGTGAGATGCAAAATATCACGACACATTCTTAGTATTTTATTTTAATAAAAATACAAAATCTTTAAAATGTCTAAAAATGCAAAAAAAAAAAAAAAAAATCAAGACAGATAGCCCAGACTTATTCCTAGTTTTTTGCCATAGTTTTATTTTAAATTAAATATGTCTTGTATTAAGAAATATTTATTTTATGGAAATCACAACATTTTTAATATATCAAATAATTCAAAATAATATACACCGCTTATTCAAAAGCTTATAACTCATTAAAAATTAAAGTTACTGTTTGTTGTCAAGTTCTGAACTGTCCTAATCGTGGTGAGAAAAGTAGTTTGAAGATTGGTCAAGGTAAGGAACACTTAAAACAACTAACTACATATAAAAATTTATACAGCTATAACAAAATAGCAACCCAAAAGAGGTTAAGAACTATATCATCATAAAGCAAGCAGCACAAGCCATTGCTAATTTAATTTAAAACGGATAGATAAGTTTGAAATTAAAACCTTATTAAGTTGTAAAAATCGGAATAGTAACGAAATAGCCACTCAAGATAAGCGAAATATACTATTCTGGTATATTACTTCAATCGCCGCCTGGTCACACTCAAGAACACGTACTTCATTATTCTGGGAGAGAGCATCGGTTAAAACTTGGATAACACGATGACCCCGCCGCCCAAGTGACTGAGCAGGTAGCCAAGTGACCCTGGAACACAGTGGGTACGTTGCCGGCTCCCCAGGAAAGCCCTAATCTTTCAAATCCGCACCGCCCACTTGCAGGTTATGTTCGCTTGTGTACACTGCGAAGGGGATTCTTCGAAGAAGCAACAGGAGCGGATTGCGAGTGGAAGGCCGAACCCGCAGGTGGACAAACCGCCCCTGGAAACTGCACCAACATGATCGAGGTGCTGTGCCTGCTGATGGGCAGGATTCTGCTGCTCCTGATCGGTGGTTACGAGTTGATTTGGCGGTTTCGAGAGCGCCTCAATGCACTGGTGGCCAGGTGGTCATATGATTATTGGCTTAGCCCAACGGCACGTGATCTTCACGAGCGACGCGTGCTCGCTGACTGCCGCTCCCAGTTGACGAAGACGCCACAGCATCTCGTCCTGGTCATCTCACCCATGGACACCGGCGTGGATGCAGTGCTCCTGCGAAGGATCTTTAACTATGCCCTGGATGTGGGCATCAAGCATGTCAGTTTGTTCGACAGGCGCTCAAAAGACAAAGGCTATGTGGATTTGGCTGATCTCTGCGAGAATCAAGGCAGCTCCTTTAAGTGGTCAAAAACTCCTACTCCGAATAGTCCCAGCAAAGTGGAGACTTCCCCCAAAAACGGACAAAAGACAAATGGTTATGTGAACGGGGCAAACGGCTCACATTCCACACAACTGCAGGTGAGTGGGCGGGAATTGATAAGGGGGCGGAACAGGTTTGGATCCAAAGAACGAAGTTCAATATGCCCTTGCAGATTAAAAATGTTCTTTATGTAGTGCTACTATTTCTATTTACTTTGAAACAGAACCAAATAATAAATTAACATTCAATAGTTACTTTTCACATTGCAAATAATGTTCAGAAAGAAATTATAAACTTATTTTAACTGAAAATACTTAAAACTTAAGCTTTCTAATGTTTAATTTTCATTAATTATTAACTTTAAGTAGTACTAAAAGTTTTAGATTAAGTTTTGTGTAAATTTAAAATTATTTAAAAGCCAAATTTGGGCAACTAGGTAATTTTAAATCTTTATAATATAAAAACTTGAAAAGATGGTATCAAAAAAATTAAAAACTTAAATATATAGATAGGGACAGTTTAGTTAGGCATAAATAAGCAAATGGTCTCTACTCTTTATAGTAAAACTAATAACCCTTTTGTCAAGGGTATGCCAAGCGATTCCCGGAACTAATCGATCTCTTATCATTTGTTAATTGAGTTTTTTTTGGCTTCTACCTCTTGCAGCTCTATCAAATCAGCGCCGCCGATGGCCATGCCCTGATCGCCGATGTCTGCCGGGAGTTGTACGAGAAAAGGGAGACGCCAATGGTGCAAAATCTACTCCAGCAAAAGCGCGAGGCGCTCACGGAGCAGATCACCGAAATGCTGGACAAGCGACTCGGTTTCGTGGCCCCGGAACCGGAGTTGGGCATCATTTTTGCCCGGCAAACCTGCACCTACGGCCTGCTGCCCTGGCATGTGCGCTTCACCGAGTTCCACACGCATCCCAGTGGACGCCACTTTGACGTGGAAACGTTCGCCAACATCCTGTCCAAGTACTCGCGATGCGAACAACGATGGGGAACGTAGATGGCCCTGTTTTTTTGAGTGGGAAACGAAACCCTTATATTAACTAGTTACCTTAACTATACATATGTAAATTATCGCCAGGAATTCCTCTAGTTCGTAAGAATAAACCACAAAAGTGTATTGTTCGTAAAGAAAGTGTATTTCGGGGCAGGGTTTAAGGTTTTTAAGATCGATTTTTGACATAAGTATGTACAGTTGCGATTAGGTCGATAGCACTTATATAAAGTAATAATATAATGTAATGAAATTATATATTTTCTTTGGATATCTTAAACTTCATTTATTTGTATACTTTTAAATGGTTTAAGCAACAAGTGAAGATGTATAGATTGTTGTGCCGTGCTATTGACTTAAGTGCAACTAAATGTTTACATGTAAGTAGGCAGACTTAGACGCTATGGTTAGGAGTATTGTATCTTGTTAATTCCCAGCGAATCCCTTCTATTCCCTTTCAGGTTCAGCATGGCGCTTGGACAGCAGATTGACATCGGTCAGATACTTGTTCTTATCGGTATTATGTGGCCCCGGACCCGTGGGCATTCGCTCGTGGATGACATGGAAGGAGTTGCGCAAATCCTCGAGGGAATCGGCCAAGCCCTTCTTGATGTTAGCAAACTCGCTGGACATCAGTGACAGTTTGCCCAGCAGGAAGTTGAGGTTCTCGTCCATGTCGATCATGTGCTTCTTGGTCTCCTCCACCCGGCTGCCCAGTCCCATCATTGTGGCCAGCGTGCTGTTGATGTAGCCATCGGATGCGGACTGCATCACTCCCAGCATTTCCCTGCTCTGACTGATCTCGCCAGCCATAATCTCGATGCGGTGCCACACCTGGTTCAGCTCTGTCTCCAGCAGTCCACTGATGTTCTTGTTCGCCTCTTGTTGTGTATTCACCACCGTGCCGTCCAGCGTGGCGAAGCGCTCCTTCAGCAGCCCACTCAGCTTGGTCATCTCCTCCTCCAGCAGTTTGCCCACCCGCTGCACCACATTCAGTGTTCCAAACTCCACCTTACGCTGTGTGTCCAAAACCACCTCCGAATTGGTCATGATTATGTTGTTGAACTTGCCCAGAGCCTCCAGTCCCTCGTTTAGCTTGACATTGCTCTCATTGGCCGCGGCGAAGAATTTATTGAGGATGCCCACTTCCGTGGACAGCTGGCGAACATCCGCCTGGATATTGGCCTCCGTCTGCTGCAGTCGCTCCGTGGTCTCCGTCAAGGCTGGGGTAAGCAGAAGATCAATTATTTAGGTTAAATATAAATTTAGAAGAAAGAAATATCCACTACCCATTAATATTCCATGGAATTGACTTCATTTTTCAAATATGACGTCATATTTAAAACTTTTCTTATAACTTTTAAAATATTGTTTCGATTTGGAAAATTTTTGGTGAGGCAGTAGATATTGACCAAATAAACATAAGCTGACCAATAAATAGCCTTTACCATATTTCATAGTTATATGACAGAATTTCGTAACATTAAAAGTAATTCTCTTTAAAGATTTAAAAAAAATCAATAATAATCATTTTAATAATCCAAATAATTTTTGAAATTTTTTCAGAAAGTGATTTTTAAGGAATTCTTAAACATGCTGTACCCACCTGATTTCTGTGTGGCAGAGGACTCGCTCTTGAGCTGCGCCAAGGCGTTGAGGGTGTCGTTACTGAGCTCCTGGATGAAGGAGCGATCCTTTTCGGTCAGGCCAACTGGAGCAACCGGACGCTGAACAGATTCACTCAACTCGGTCACCTTTCCACCCAGCGAATTCAAGCTACCCAAAACATGGACCTCGAATTCATTGGTTTTGGGCGGAGCAGCAGTGGTCACGCTAGCGGAATGCTCCTGCAATTTGGCCTCGATCTGGGACAGCAATTCCGCTCCCTTGGGCAGTTTCTCGAAGTTCTGTTGGGTTTTATCGGCCGCCTTCTGGCTGCTTTCCTTCAAAGCGGCCACACTGGAAGTTAGCTTCTGAATCTCCTCCAGCAATTTGGTATTGAGACGCTTCTGCTCCTCCAGGAACTCCTTCGGAATCGCTGGGGGCGCAGGGGGCGCGGCTGGAGGAGCTATTAGGTTGGCACTAACCGGTGGCCTTTTGAAACACTCGTCATTCTCCCTCATCCACTTGAACATGTGCTCCGTGGCCTGGTTGAAGCGATCCGACTGCGAGTTGTACTTCTCCTCTTGCTAGAGATTAGATGGTAAAAAATTGAATTTTTAAGCTTTATAGTATCCCATTTCAGATATAATATTCCAGATGAATTTATAAATAACTGTGAATAAATTTATCTTAAAAAAATTTTTTTTAATTAGGTTTAAGGCTTTGTTAAATTATGTTAATAATTCTTGAACGCCCTTTTTGTTTAAATAAAGCACAGAATATTATAGATCATATGGTTTTTAAATCAAATTTAAAAATTTGTTAAATACTTAAATAAATTTTAGGTGTAAAACCCTTTCTCACCGTAATCAACATGGTCTCTATTTGGCTGACCCTCTCGTCCAGCCGTCCGAAAATCCCATTGATGGGTTCCAGACTCTTCTGACCCTTTTGCAGGGATTGCAGAGCCTTCTTCAGCAATTCTCCCAAGGCTCGTTCCCGATGCTCGTGGCGCTCCAACTTATTGTCCAGTTGGTTGTAGGAGTAGATCAGCGACTGGATGGTTCCGCGCAGCTCCTCGTTTCTAAAAAAGAGTCGGGGCATAAGTACACTCAGAAAACTAAATTCCTTAATTTTTGGAAAAAATTCCGGGCACAGAAACAATTGGAAAAATAAATGTCAAAAACTGCGTCGCTTTTTTAATTTGTTTTAATATTAACAAGTAAAATCCAAAAAAAAATTTGGAAGCTAATGTTTTCCAAAAATATATGGTAGGCTGATCTTTAAGGACATGTTATATAAAGTAATTCTTTTTCTGAGTGTAAAATAGCTTAAAATTAGCTCTGCCCTAGACCATTAATCATCTAAGTTGGGGGTGGATGAAGATGCAGCATGGATGGGACCACCACCATCCATGTGCATGTGCATGCCTATAAATATTGAGGGGATCGTGGATGTGGATATGGATGTGGATATGGATATGGATAAGTGGTGAGTGGATCTCAGGGTCAGGAACCCTGTTTCTCGATTCCAAAAGCTGTTTGTGTGAATTGCATTGATGCTGATGGATAGAGCATAGACATATGGAGTTGGGGGGAAACATAGAACACATGCCACTCTATCACCCCTCGGAATCGGAATTACCAGCCCATTTGCATGAGAAGTGTGCAGTAAAACCATCTTCGTGCCATCCATAGTCCGAAAATAAACAAATAAATAAGCGGAACAGAGAAAACATCTTGGTTTCCCTTTGAAGGCATTTTAGTCATTAGTGGTTTTCGATGTAAATGTGGATGTGGATGTGGATGTGGATGAGGCTGCTGTGCATGGGATGCATTCATTTGGTGTCCCAGGCGCCGACTTCACTTCTCTGCACATTTCGCTAAAAACTCACAGTTTTTAAAAGGGAACACATAGCATACATGGCATATAGAATGGATAAGATAGTGCCAACCAATGTGTGACATGTGTCAAAGCCATAAAAAGGGAGTGCTAGAAATGGCAGTTCCTTTGAATTGAACAGATTGGGATTGGGAATGGGATTGGGAATGGGACTGGGGATTCCTAAAGTTTGAGCATCCAATTACAGCCCCTTTCACGAGATATGATCGCAGAGTTATTTTCCATTGAGAGCTCTCATTCAAAGTGGCGTAATTGGGCTCTTAAAACTGAGAAATTTGTAATGGCCTACGAGTTTTCATCTTATATTATTACTTTAAATTTAAGATTTCCTAATGAAATTCAAATGAAATTGGTTGGGAAAAAAGGGGAACAAAATTAAAATGAAAAATTATTTTTAAAATAATAATAATCATAATGACTAAGGGTACAAAAAATGGATAAAATAGGGAGTTTAGTCCCATATTTATTTTATTAATATTGAAAATCAATACTTTCTAGTTTTATGGTTTTTATTTCTTTAAAAGAAAATAAGATATGGTATCTCCCAGAAATTAACCATCTACTCTTTCGAAACGCTAGGTTAGAAAATCCATGTTATAGAATTTAAATAAAATTTTGATATGCCTTTTGAGAATGATTTTTTTTTTTGTTTTTTTCTTGAAAGTTTGAAAGGTTATCTGGGCAGCTAAAGTTCTCATTCGATTTGAATTTGATTAAAATAAATATCTAGAACAAATTATGAATATTTGGATTATAAATTAAAATTTCCAGAGTATTCTTTACTGATTAAACAATATTCAAAATAAAATACGTTTTAAACTTTTCTTAGCAATATTTTAATTTTAAATATGAATATTAACCTTTTCTATACCTAAAGGGGAGTTTTTGTTGCGACTTTAAAATTAAAATTGATCGATCTAGTTTACTTACGAGACTGGCCCCGCCGCAATCGTCTGCCATTGAGCGATTGCAATTAGAGCTAGGAATACCAATTGAAGTGTTCGACTTCTGCCACCCATCGTACACGATATGATGGTCTATATGGGTCCGATTCGATGCGTTCTTTAATTGGTATCTATGCAAATCCGCGTAGAGATCCACTGCGTGACCTGCGGAAAAATCGAACGGATACTGATCATTGGCTATGGAAAATCGAAATTGGAAAATAAAATGCAATGGCGTCGTTTGGCCATCGATTTTATAGCCTTTTTTTTATTTCCTTACGAATTACATCAGAAAATATTTATCGCAAATAATTATTGTATAAACAATTGTAGGCAAATTGATGTGAAATATTTATGGGGGCTGCAGTGATTTGCAGCTGAAACAACTGCAAACAAAGCAAATTGGTTCCTTGTCCATTGTGCGGATATGTCTATATATATGCATATATATATATTGTTCTTGCAGCGATAAACAAATGACGCAAAAATATCCACTGGACTGGACTGCATGTGCCAGATTTTCCTTTAAAAAGGGAAGGGGTGCAAAATAATGCATTGGGGAAATTGGGTCAGAAATTAATGAGCGTGGAATTAAAAAAAAAAATGCCACCGTTAATGAGTAAAAAATTGAAAATGTCTCAAGATAGACAGAACTTGTACACGATGATAAGAAAGCTTGGGTTAAAAGGTTGACAAATACAAGTATATAATATAGTAAAATATAATAATAAATTTGTAATAATTAAATAATATTTGATGGCCTGTTGAATATAAATAAAACACTCACTTTTATGAAAATTTGCCTAAGTAGACTTCGAATATTACTTTAAAGTCTTGCACTTGGAACACTTTAGTTTTTTTAATCGGAGCACTTTATTTGGACGTCTTCACAGCTCGAGTTGAGTTCTCTGAATGATGCTGGATCTGAATGGTCGACTATTCCGGAGGAGATGTTCACTATATGTGCATCCGTATTCCTACCCGATAATGATGCTCTCTGCTCTCCGCTTTTCTCAGCTGCAAAAGAGCGTGAGACAACAATTCAGATGTCTTTAATAAAATGTAATTAAAATCTAGAGAGCCCCTTGCATTGGGGTTGAAAACTAATCAAAATTCAATTTATTCTAATACAAAACCATTGAGCAGAATGCAAACAAATGACTCGGGTGATGCTCTTTGTATGCTTTTGCGGCAAAATCAAGACAATTAAAGGCGATCATTTCGAATCGATTTATGGGGATGCCTTAGAGTTAAAAAATAATTTAACTCTGCTGGCGCCCTAATTGTAAATTAATAAATTATTGATTAAAATTTTAGTTTTTAATACAATAAAATAGTTCAGACTTTAATTAACACATAAATATTACCACATATTTTATCCAACATGACAAATTAATGGTTAATATTAAATATATAGTGTTAAAATACAATAATAAGAAAATTAAATTAAATGAATTATTTGTTTTTTTAACAATTCTTTTTGAAAATTGTACAAAACTTGTTAATAGATGGTTAAGAGTGATGTAAATCAATTGGCAAAGCTGAAAGACATTCATATTTCAATGTAGATTTTTAATTTTTTTTTGCATTTACATAAAAAGATTAAATTAAATTATCTTATTATAATTGTTTTGATAAAATTTCGAATTTGAATTCCCAATTGGCGCCAAATTATGGACAACCAACCATTCACAGGAAACTGTTAGATCGAATGCAATGCGAATGGCATTTTAGCTGGAGCGAAAGAAGAAGATGCATAAACAACATAATTTTGCCGGAAAAATAAATAATTTGTAAATATCAATTAGAAATGCCCACTTTAATAGCGTTGGATGCATCGCTATCGATGCTTCGTCCTGTGCCAGGACGAAATGAGCACACCTACCAATCGCTGGCCATCAAGGGGATTCAGCATTTGCTGGACAATCTCACGGCGGCCGGAAAACTGGAGCACCTTGCTCTACTCTTCTACTCGACCACATCGGAACTCAAAGTGGATTTCACCAGGGACTATGACCAAATCCGGCAGGCCGTGAAAAAAGTGGAACCCGTGGACAAGGCCTGCTTGGCCAGCATGCTGAAGGCTGTGGTTTCCATAATGTCCCCATGGGGCAACCAAAACATCCTCCAAGTGGTCATCTTTACGGATTGTGGCCTCGGATTTGGCAACACTTCCATCACTGGCTTCCTGGAAGCCTATTCCGGCAAGGATTCGGAACCGGAGTTCGCTTTCCTCAAAACCCTGGCCAACTACAACCTGAACTTCATTTGCTTGGGCCTGCATGGTGATCACTATTTCACTAAAGGATTGGCTGTGTATCAGCAGCTACTGGACAAGGTTTCACTAAAGGGTAAATTAAATTATAAGTGGAAGTAACCCCTTAACGAGTATGCAAGTTCCTTATGCTTTATTTCCCTTCCCAGGCCAGCTCTTTATGACAAAACCTGTGAAAACCGCCGAAACAGTGGAAGGAAATCCCAACCCAAACCCGAATCCCAGCCACAAAAGCGAACTGGGACGCACTACAGTTTTCGAGTTGATTGAGCGTCTGTGTGAGACGAGCTACAAATCCTCGGAGGTGACCCTTAAATGTGGCAGCTATTTCCGCATGGAGGCGCCTGTTTTGCTCTGGCCACCCACGGCGCCTTATGAGCAGAAGTCCGCAGTTTTTGGACGAGAACCCACCATTCGGCACATAGACCAGAAGATTGAGGTGTGTGGTTTCCTGGCCCTGTCGGATATTGGTTCGCCAGCCACTTGGAGCCGTCATTGGGTGCTGCCCAAAGTGGAGCGCGAAAAGAGTGGCGGTAGCCGAAGATCTGGCAGTTTGCCGGCAGCTGCCAAGCCACCAAAACTCAATCTGGACATCAGTAATCCCAACTATGAGCTGGAGAAGCTGGAAACAGATATCAAAGACTTCTTCGCCAAGGATCCAAAGGAAACCGAGGAGAGTGGCGATGACGATGTGACGATTGTCTTGAAACCAGGTCCGCAAACGGAACAGCAGAGGGAGAACCTTTGCGTCCTGCTCCATGGAGCCCTGAAAATGGAGAACATGGCCGCGTTGGTTAAAGTGGGCGACAAGTGGTATGGCTTCATATACGCCTTCACCGATGGCAAAAAGAAATCGAATCTAATGTTGAACATACTGCCACCCGGCACCAATGTAATACCTTGGCTTGGAGATCTGGAATTGCTGGGATTTCCCGAGGATCTGGCACCCGGAGAGACAGCCAGTTTTCCGGTGCGTGCCGATCGCCGCTCCTATTCGCAGAGCAGTGTTGTATGGATTCGACAGGCCAGCCTGCAATCAGATGTCCAGAAAGTATTGCGACATGCCAAGAAGATGCCCGATAAGACGCAGCATTTCTACAAGGAGCTCAACAGAATTCGAAGGGCTGCCTTGGCCCTGGGTTTCGTGGAGCTGCTGGAGGCATTGGCCATGTTGCTGGAGAAGGAGTGCGCACATCTCAGCCTAAATGGAGCCAGCAACGAGTGCACTTTGCAGCTGCAACATGCGGCCATGGAGCTGCGAAAGACCTCGAATAGAGATATCAAGTCCACGATTATACCGCTCCAGAAAGTGGGAGCTTCCGATGCGGGGAGCACAGCGGCCACGGCTCCTGCTCCTCCATATATGTACTAAAATATAAGTTGTGTCTATTATGTACTAGTTTTTGACTTTTATTTGGAACTAACGCTGGTTATTGATTTTATTTTATTAAACATAAATTTAGTTCAATTCCTTCAATTTGTATATTTCAATATGGTATGTTTTGTAAAAGGGTTGAAAAATAATAATATGATAAAGTGTAATTTTTAAAATGTGTATACATTTTTAATACTTGGAATATAATTTTTAAAATTAATGGTAAAATAAATTATTTTTTATTTATAACATTTTTTCTTGTGATTTTAAATATTACAAAAAATGTTTAAATATAAATAACATATTAGTTTTTATCTTAATTTATATTTCTAATATTTTGAAAATTGTAATCTAACGGTAATCTTTATATTACATGCCCTACATATTTTTGCATTTTACAGCACTTGTTGTCTTGCCTATCGTTATCGATGACAAAACTTTGTTATTTTTTGGCGACGAAAAATATAAACAATGGGAAGTCCGGAATTACCCACAGATCCTGGTCAAGAGGTATTCCCAACGCCAGTGGTGGATCATCCACGAAATGGCGTGGAGAGCGAGGAGGATGACGACTCCGATGCCTACGATGGCTACCAACCACTGGCCTTGGAAGAGGATCTCAATGGAATACCCATGGATGCCGAGGATTCGATTCCCAGGGAACCGGAGGCTACATCTGAGGAAAACGATGAGGATGTTGATTTGATGACAGCTCCAGTCACTCATGGTGACCCCAATATGCCGCCAATTGAGCCGGCGGATGTGGAAATCGAGCGACAAGTGTGGAGCGAACCCAGACCCAGGGAACTTCAAATGGAATTGGATAAAACGCGAACGGAACAGGTTAGTTAAGTTTATGGTTAGCTTATAAGATATTCGACTAATCCCTTATCTTGCCCTTTACAGATCCTCAAAGCCATGTCCACGATAACCTTGCCCAACATCACGGTACCGGATTGGGCCAAAGGAGTGCCCGAAGAGCGCTGGAAACACGAACTGCTGGACCGCATTAACAACCGCCAATCTGCAGCAGAAGCATCCTCGTCGGCGCAGAATCCACAGCATTCCAAGGCCAAGAAAGATTAGCGGGTTTATAATGTGTATTTAGAAAAAACGTTCGCTCCAATATATGATTAATTTAGAATGATGATAAATGGGATCCTAGAATGCAGCCAGCAGGGCCTGGCCCACCGAGTTCACCTTGCTGAAGTTCTCGGCCTGCGGCGTGTTGGTCAGCTCGCGCAGCTTGTCCATCACATAGTCCACGGAGACGACCTGGGCGACGGTTTCCTGGCCGCAGGATGTGGTGGTCAGGTTGCCAATGGCCTGCATGGAACGGTAGCAGGCCTCCAGATCCGTGGCCCACTTGAGCAGCTCCACCACGCCGGCGGTGACCACATGGCAGACCTCCGCCTTGGCCGCACTTACAGTCTGGGCAATGGTCAAGTTCAAATAGAAGGTGGCCACGGCAATCTGCAGATTGGCACTGCCCGCCTTGATGCCCCCCACCAGTTCGATGATCTCCGCCAGATGGGACTCCACCTGCTGACGTCCCGTGGCGTGACTCAAGCTGTTGGCCAGGCAACGCACCACCATTAGCTGACTGGCCGCCGATCCAGTCAACTGGGGGATCACAATGCTCAGGAAGTTGTGGCTATTGTTGAGGACACTAAAGACGGGCTCATTGCGCACGGCCAGGCGTAGAATATCCAGCACAGGGAAGAGCATGGCAGCTGGCCACTTAAGCAGGATAATCAGGGCTTCCAGAGAGGTCAGATCCAGCTCGGGTGCTTGCTCGGTTAACTTGATGACAGCCAACAGGACCTCGTCTCCAACTTTGCCATCAACGGGTGTTAGTTTACTATTAAACTCCCTAAACAAAAAAAAACAAAGAAATTAGGATTAGAGGCTTTCAAATGTAAGTAATCTGTAATCTGTACACACTTCATTTTCTCCAGCACCTTCTTCGAGTCACAAGTATCAAAGGTGCGATAGCTGCTCACGGGAAAGTGTTTGTCACCGGCACTCACAAAGTTCACATTCACATTGCTGGCTGTTGTCGAGTAGCTGGAGGCACCCGTAAAAGGATCCACATTGCCGCCACTCCTCACATTGGTGTTGCTCGAACCGGGAACGTAGCGAGAGCCGCCCGTGAACGGATCCTGATAGCCAGTGGGTGCTTGCTCCACCACCATCGCAGCACTCTGCGAATTCTTCACTATGAAGTTGGCCACCTGGTCGAGATAGGCCTGCGGCAGGTTGTTGCGATGGATGAAGGTCTGGGCCGCCTGCCAGGGATCTTCGCCCAGGTTGTAGGGCAGCTTGATTGGCGGCTCCGTATCGGAGATGTCCACATTGAACACAAAGTCGTACTCCTTGCCCTCGTGCAGTTTCTTGCCGGAACTGGCCTGTGTGCCGCCCGACGCTCCTGTCACATCGCCCACCATATTCCAGTTGCCTAGCTCCCAGATGTAGCATTTCACCGAACCATCGGGATGACGCACCATCTTCGTTTGTCCCTCTCGCGTTCCATTGGACAACAGGGCCTCCGGACCGGGTAGACTGTAAAATAGGGTTTGTTTAAGAGTAGGAAATACAGATTTGCCCCACAAAACTTACTCAGTTTTCTTTACCCCTCCGATTTCCTCGTTCATCTGCGACTTCCTGGTGGCCACGGCCAAGTCAAAGGCTTTCCGTATACCCTCACTCGCTTGCCGAGTTGGATCCTGGCTGAATACCCTCACCACACCATCGCTGCAGCCGGTGACTATGTCGCCGTTCTTCAGGCAGGCCACCGACCACACCGAAATGGCGGGATGCAGGATGGGTGCGCCCAGTTCATCGCCAGTGATCACGTTCCACATACGCAGCGTGCTATCCTCGCCGCAGGAGACCACCACTTGCTCACCAAGAGCTCGATTCCGGTCCATCGAATAGATGTAGTTGGTGTGTCCGCTTAGCTGGCGCACGCACTCGCCATCTTCGTTCCAGAAACGGAGCACTGCATCATTGCCGCAGGAGAGCAGGGTGTTGGCATCTAGGCCAATGAGACCCCTCACGCAATCCGTGTGTCCCTTGAGCAGACGCAGCTTCTCGCCCTTGGCGTTCCAGTAGTAGATGTTCTTGTCCGCTCCACCGGTTACATATTTGAGCTGCTCCTTTAGAGTGGCCACTGCCCAAACGGCTGCCTCGTGGCCCTCCAAGGTTATAAATGTCACATCACCCGCTTCGCTTATACTCCAAACCCGGGCTGTCTTATCCCAACTGCCACTGATCAGACTCCTTGCCTGCAATCCTTCCGAGAGCGTGCACACCGTGGAGCCATGGCCCTTGAGGGTCAACAAGGGCACAAAGCCATCCTGCTTGTAAATGCAAATGGTGGCGTCATTGCTGGCCGTGCAGATCCACTGCTCCGTTTCCAGGTAGTAGATGTACGAGATGAAGTTCTTGTGATCCTGCAGCGTCACGCTCTCCAAGTACTCGTTTCTGCCGGGGATTAGGTTAAGGGTTTAGGATAGGGATCACAACTAAGCGGATAACCTACCCAATAGGCCGCCAGAGCTTGGTACTTTTGTCCCGCGAACCGGACAGAATCATCTGCCCACCTTCCGGAGTGGGGCCACCCACTGCCACCGCCCGCACGTCCATGCTGTGACCCAGGAGCTCACAGCTCAGCTTGTAGTTGTCCAACGAGGGATCCATGTCTGGTGGCCTGGTATCTCCTGTGTATCCTGATTCCCAAAACTCCGCTGAAAAATTGTGTTACACTTTGTTCGCCGGCTGTCAGCGACTTTGCCATTCACTGCGAACAAATTTGCACACTCAGATAGCGGTGGGACTATCGCATCCGGTTCAAGGTCAATAAACTCAGACCGATAGTGTCGCAAGCAATAGTTTCTAGATTTAAAAAGCCAATTGATAGTTGTTTAAGAAGGCCTTAAACATATTAGGTAATATGTAAATTCATAGTACTTTTTTCTTACTAATATAATAAGATTGTTTTTAAACTTTATTTTATGTTTTGCTAGTTCCACATTTAAAACTATCGATATTTAAGCATTCTATCGAAGTGTGTTTTTATCCGGTTTACCATCTCTACGTTCAAAAGTATTGTTTTGCATTGTTTACACTTTTTGGCAAATGGGTGGAAAAAGTTATTATTGTGATTATTGTTGTTGTTTTATGAAAAACGATTTAAATGTGCGCAAACTGCACAATGATGGCATCTCCCACACAATTGCGAAAACAAATTATATGCGCCGTTATGACGGTAATTATTTCTCCACACTCTACACTAAAACTTCATAATTTAAAATTAAAAAATATTTAGATCCCGAAAAGATATTGATCGAAGAACGAGCAAAAATACCATGTCAGCGATACTTTGGTGGCTACTGCAAATTCGAGCTGTTTTGCAAATACAGTCATTATAATGAAAAGGAAATACAGGAACTGGAAAAATTAGGTATGAGATTTATTGTGGTCTTAAAATAAATGGGATTTTAATGATATGAACTCTTAGTTTTGGCTAAGAAGAAGACCAACTACCGAAAGAGAAAGAAATCCAATCAATGGCCCTGGAAAACTCATCCTCAGAAGGGATTACCTCCTTCTCTACAAAACATGAACTTAGCCAAGCTCAAACAAACCAATTTTGAGCTAGACTGGGGATAATTAGACATTAAATATATATTCAGAATAAACACAATTAATGTCAAGTATTCAATATGTTATGTACTTTTTCCATAACTCGAGCCACTTTTAGGTTAATGCGTAATGTGCGAGCGTATTCGTAGTGAAACGATTTCGGGGTTTGCCCGCTTAAGTTTTCCTCATCGGGATCGGCCAAATGTGCCAGCAGGAAATAGCAAAGGTGTTCTGTAATGAGATAAGATTATAAGAATTATACTTAAATCAATATTTGGTTACATGGAACTGTACAAATATTCATAATGATTCAGACGAACAGAGGTTGCTCCAACTATAACAGGAATATGTATGCAATTTAACACCTTTAAGTTGCAAATGTTGTACGGTTATCAACATATTATTTTCAACCTACCCTGCTCCCCTTGGACGGCATAAAAAAGGGGCGGATTGCCGCCCTTAGCCTCGGAGGCATTGATCACATTCTGCTTATGCCGGCGGTTCTTCAACTTGGGTTTACTCAACTCCAATCTTTCGCAGGCCCGATCATAGTACTTGGCAAAGGCCTTCTCTTCTTCCCTTTCGTTCGTATTTGGAGCCTCCGATGTTCGCCGGTACACTGCATCGCCCAATTGCCGCTTGTCAATGATATCCATGATTGCCTCCGCAATTAAAAACTGATTGTTACGCACTGCCAGATGCAAAACCGTGTAACCATCATCGTTGATCAGCAGCAGAAGATCCAGATCTATGCGATGCATCAGTAATTTAAAGGACTCAATGCTTATGTTGTTTATCACGGCCAAATGAAGAACTGTATTTGAGTTATCGTAGAGCTGATTAGTAAGGCAATTGGCCTCCAAAAGCATTGAGACAATCTCCGTGTCCGTATCATTTTCGAGGGCAAGCTGCAGGCAATCCTCGCCAGCGTTGCTCAGTAGGTCATTGATATCCAGGTTGGCGTGATTGCACACAAAAATCTGGCGCTTCACCCCGTGAACATCACCATGTAGTATTTCATCATGAATGGGCCTAAAAGAAGATGATATCATTATGACTGTTGCAATGATCTCATTCATTTTAATTTATTTTTTTTATTACTTACAGCAATCCTTCTTCGGACATTATATGAGCCTTCTTAAATTCATGGGCCATTATGCGTAATATCCGATCTTTACTAGAGCCATTTATATAGTTTTCCACGTAGTCTCCCACCACGTTGAGCACATCCATATTAATAGATATATCGGACGCGTTCGAGTTACGTCGCTGGGGAGTTGCTTTTGAAAAGCTATTAACCCCTGCATTTCCAGAGTCCTGTAAAAGATATGATTAATATAAATTTCAGAGAAAACATAGGCAGATAAGGTCGACTTATATATGTAAGATTCTAGATTAAGGTTTCACAATTCTGACGAATATTGGTGTGGAAATTGTAGTAGTAGCCTATAATCAAGTTTCACTTCGCCTTTTATGGAAACAACACGAGTCATGTACTTTTAATTATTTTTTTCTGGGAAAAACAAATGTTTCACTATTAACAGCTTACAATTGTATGACTGTTTCACTATAAATTTAAGACTTTTTTTTACTATAAACAGCTTTAAAAACTGTTTATAAACCGAATTTAGTTGAAATTACTATTTTTTGTGAATCTTAAGAACTTACTCCCTACCATATTGTACTTAAAATTAAAAACTAAATTGAAATTGGTTTAAATTACTATTTTTTCTGAATTTCATCTTTAAGAATTGGTTCTCTATACTGTACTTTAAGTAAGATTGCTTTTTTTTTTAGAATTAACTCTTCATTATATATGACATTAAAGAAAAAACTGTATCTAAAGTTTTTGGTTTTATTGATTTGGATTACTTATTTCATGTGGGCTTAATCTCTTAGAATTCACTGTCTGATTCGCCTAATTAAATCTTTTTTAAAGAATTTTTTTTCAATTTAATCTCTGAAAACTTAATCCGAATCACTGTGTACTTTAAAGTAAAGACTGTTTCTAAAGGGAGATCGGTTTAGATTGCTCCTATTTAATGAACTTATTCTTCAAGAACTTAATCCCGATCACATTGCACTTACCACAACCTCTTGTTTTCTCTTCTTGGTGACCACGGGTGTCAGTTGTTTCTCCTCCCGCTCCTGGAGCGCCATTTCAGCTGCCGATCTCTTGACGACCTGTGGCACACAGGTATTGCGCTTTCTTCCCCGTTTTTTAGGAACTTTTCCATTTGGTGCGAACGGTGTTTCAGTGGCCTTGGAACTTGAACTAGGGCTATTTGTGGGCTCCGCTTTTGTTTCTAATGTTTCACGCTTTATGGCAGGCTTTTCCAGGCACTTTATAGACATCAGATCGGGTTCAGATTCTGTCTGCGTGGAGGCATTTACTTTTTGGGCCCCACAAGAACATTGTTTACCTTGCGGCTGGGAGATAGCAGCGACCTTATCGCTGCCACTATTGCGTCCATTAATCGCGTCGATCACCCGTTGGGTGAGGGCTTTATCGGGAATGCGCATGAGTAATTTGAAAATGTCCTCGTACACGGGCTGGAAGGACTTCCTCTGGATGTAGGTAGTTGCTCCTATTTGAGCTGGCATCGCAATGACACGAACTGGAGCACTTGGTGGCTTGGCCAATAAAAGTTCCGATCCGCCTGTGGAAACCGACCGAATGTGCTGCGATTTCGTCAACATCACCTTCTTCATCGTGGCTGTCTGGCAATAAACTACTCGTGTGTATATACAATCTCCAAACGATAAGATAGCCTTGTTTGCGCTCGATTTTGGGGGAAGTCCTAAGTTTATATGGATCCAAAATAAAATAAGTTGGTTTTTCCCCAAGACACGCTGCACGGAATGGCACTTAGTGGCGGCACTTGGGCGTTTTTCAACACTTTCCTAGAGATGGACGATAGTCGGCTAACTAATCGAACTTTTGTATGGCATTAATATATAACAATTAATTTTGTATTTAATAAGAAATAAACTAATATAACCTTGGGGAAATAATAAATTTTAAATTTTTTAAGCGAAATTAAAGTTGTTAAACCTTTTAGTTACTTATTTTGGATGCTATGTTAAATTAAAATTTTAATTTATTTTTATTAATGTTTATTTATTAAAAGCTAGTAAAAAATATGTTAACCATCTATATTTAATGTTTTTTTATTTATATACATATGAACTCAAGTAATTAGTAAGTAGTTAATTGCCCCATCTCTAGATTCTCTAAGCTTATCGATATTTCGTTCGCAGTGAATGGCAAAACGGGACTCAAAGTGTTCTTATGGAAAAAAATACGGTCTTTTATAAAGGCACACCGGGATAAAAGAGCAAAATAAATCAATTATAAAGAAAAAGGGGAGCTCATATATAGAGGCTCCCATAAAAGCAAACCTCTGCAATAGGATAAACCAGAAATATCAATCATGGACTCGCGTAATCGGCGCAGTTTCTCCGGTGGCAGTGGAAATGAGGGGGGTCGGGGCAGTAATTACTACAGATCCAGACCGGGATCTCGATATAGCCGTTCCCGATCGCGTTCTCGGTATAGATAACCTCTTAATAACCATATGTAAATCCATATATAAAAGTACTTTTAATTTCATAGCGAGCGCAATCGCAGTTTTGGAGGCTACAGACATCGCAATTCTCGTTCTCGGAGTCGCGATCGTTCCCCCGTCTTCAGACAAGATCATCGTGGTGGTCGCGGTGGAAATGGTGACCCCGATTTGTATCACAGCCTCATAAACGATGACTACAGGGAGGATCAGCGCAACTACAATCCCCGGAATAACTTTGACAATCGCCAGTTCCGGAGAGAAGACAGCTTCGATCGTCGGAATCATCGGAGCGATAGAGAATGTGGTGATAGTGATCGGGAGCAGAATGATTATGAATACGAACAGCGCTGCCGGGATCTCGATTCCCGGGAATCGCGTCACTCCATGGAAAGGGGCGACAGGGGGTTCCCGGACAGAGGTCAAAGCAGGGAGCAAAGTAGACCCTGGAACAGGAACTTCAGCCACGACGATCGGGGCAGGAGCAACGAAAGGAACACGTGAGTTTGGGAAATTTAATGTAGTTCATTTGAGATTATTATTATTATTTATTTCCTAATCCACCGCTTTAAGTTTTGTTTACAAAAAAGAAGATATCTAAAGGCTATGCCTGCATAGCTAACTTGGGCTTAAAATTATAATGAATCTAATGGCTCTTCTAAATTTTCATAAAACAAACTTTAATATTATAAAATGCATTATAACATTAGGTTAATTGTAAGGAATTGTTTTTTGGAAAGCCATTAGTTATAATTAGAACCCAGCATGAGTGGAGTCATGGGTTTTAGACTAATTGTAATTATGCCTGTATAGCATACTTTTGTTTAAAATAATAAAGCTTTTATTATAAAGCTGTCTAAGTGTAACTTTGCCTGTATGACTTTGGCCTAACATTAGATGCTGTGCGTAATGATTAAGTAATTAATATAAAAATTATTAATGATATAATTTACTTTTTCTGTTATAGACGCCCCCGAGAACAGCGCTTTCACAACGGCGGTGGGAACCACAATATGCCCAATCATAATAGAGAACGAGAAAGGGATTGGGATGAAGATCGAGATCGAGATCAGGAAAGAGATCGAGATCGAGACCGGGAAAGAAGAGGTTCTTCGGATTATGACAGTGATGAAGGTCATATGCGGAGGAACAAGTACCGAGGTGCCACCGAAGCACTCAACATAATTATAATCTTCGGTCTCACCAAGGAAATGACCAGAGCAGATGTAAGTTGGTATACATCTCATAGAAACATCTATTAATATCCCATAAACCCTATTCCAGATCATGAGCGAGCTGATCAAGGTGAACATGGAGCCAGCGTGCATTCGAATTATCCGGAAACATGGAACAGGTGGGTTACGAAATCACTAAAATTTGCACTTACAGCATAGACGTGTGAGTAGGTCCAAAAAGTATGGTGCTACTATGCAAGTGAATGGAGACGAATAATGTACCAAAAAAATCGAATTTAACCGGCCACAAAAGAAACGAAAACGAATACAATTTCCCCACAAATAAAAACAAAACAAAAATGTTATACAAACCTATTGAAACATTCAACATTTTTTGACGAAAACATTTTGTATCTGCTTCTATCCGAAAATTTAGATTCATCACGCGGTATAGCGTTTGTCGAGTTTAACACCGTTGAGGAGGCGAAGCAATGGATGGAAATTACACAGGTATCAGCAGCGCATTCAACCGGCAAATCACCCTATTGAACCTATTTCAACATCAGCAGCCAGGCTTCTTCTTTGGGCCATGATAATCTGAATGGGTTTCCTTTGTTTTGATGACCCAGTTTTCCCCATTCAAAAGTTTGCTTTCAATTCGAATTACCCTTAATTTTAGAAACAAGGAAACTCTTATCTAATTATTAAGGCCCAAGGAAGCGCTTCGAGAGGAGATCAATCGACCGCAGCAGCTAAAACTCCGCGTTACGAAACACAGAAGCAATCCGGTGACTGTGTAGAGTGTGAAAGAAGGAATCCTCTCGATTGGTTACTAATCCCCGACCTTTTCTTTTTCCTATTTCCATGTCTGGCGCTTCACAGGGCGTGCTAAAGTTGAACGATCAGCGTGTGAGCATGCGGTATAGTCACAAGAGGATACAGGATTGGAATTGCAATAAGGTTAGTATATGAATTTAATCATTTACTCTGTTTTATTTACCAATTTTCTGACCTTTTTAGTGTGGCGTCTGCAACTTCAAGTTTAGATTCTATTGCTTTGTGTGCAAAACATCGCGGGAAGATAGCGAAACCACATTCTCCTCCGGCAGCGAAGGCGTTGATGAAGTCAGCGCCATTCTCACCAAAAGTATACAAACCACTTATACTCTTGAGTCTATATTTTTATACAACTCTACCATATTTCTTGCAGAGATTATGCTGCGCAATCTGGATGCTTTGACCAACGAGGAGGGTGTGCTCACTGCCCTCCAGCAGCATCTGCCGGTATTGAGCAAGACGGTCAGCAAGGTGCTTATAAGTCGGGACACCTTGACTCAGGCATCGCGAGGCATTTGCTACCTTAACTTTGACACTCTAGTTGACTCCATGAATGTGCACAATGCCCTCACATCGCTGGATCCTCCTTTAACCCTAGATGACCGACTTGGTAATGAGTTATATAACTTAGCTTACAAATTCTGTTTATAAAACATGTGCCATTCAGTTGCGGTAACCTATTGCAATGACTTGGAGGAGCGGCAAGCAAAGCCCAAGGATCCAAAAGCCACGACAGCGAAAGCCATCGAACCAGGGCTTCCAAGTGGCGACATTTCTGCCGTGCCACCCTCGGGATTGGGTGGCAGCTACACCCTGGCCGATGTGCCACGCCTTGCCGAATACAGTGCCTCCTTGTATGCTTCAAATCCCGCGGAGCATGCCCACTACGTCCAGTACTACACCGAGTATTACACGGCCGATATAAGCAAGAAGAGTGATCCTCACGTGACGGAGGCCAACTCCGGAGCAGCAGTGGCCCTTTCGGCCATCCAGCGCAAGCAGAAGAAGATGAACAGCATTGAGACCACGATCACCGCAGCCGCGACAGCTGCAGCACAGGCAGCGGCGGAGGTGAAGGCCACTTTTGCTGCCCAGGGAGTCAGTGCGCCCAGGGGCAACGATGGAAAGACCTACCGTAAGTGGATCCAGACATATACAGCTGCGGTCAAAATATTAGTAGTCTTTTACCTTATTAAAATAGCAGTCAAAAATAGGAGCTAAAACTTTAAAGAACATGCGGCAAATGAAAAATTCACATTTATCTAGATACATTTTTAATTATTTTTAAATTATAGGAAAGATATGAAAAAAATTTATTTTAAAATTTTCAGTTAATTTAAAAACTATGAACAAAGATTTATAGTTATTTTCTTTAATGCTTATAAAATCAAATATAGTTTGAATGCAACTTAAAAAAAAAATTACAATTTATTCGAGAAGCTAAAAATACTACACAGGGCAAATATAGAAATCAGCATTTGCATTACCATTAATGTGACCGCAACTGTATGTAGAACAAGTTTCCAAGTTTTTAATTTATTTCCATCTTTCGCATTGCAGCCACTCCCGATGTGACCCAATATCAGTACGATGAGACATCTGGTTATTATTACGATCGCAGCACGGGTCTCTACTACGATGCCCACTCGCAGTACTACTACAACAACGAGACGGGTGCGTATCTCTACTGGGATCAGCGGAGGAGCACCTACGTTCTGGCCACGCCCGCTTCCACTCAGGCAGCGCTCCAGGAAGTGTTAGCTGAAGCGGAGCAGAAAGAGGACGAGGCCAAGAAGGCCAAAGAGAAGGAGAAGGACAAGGAGGGCGGCAACAAGCACGACAAGGTCAAGGTGGCCAAGAAGATTGTCAAAGACATGGAGAAGTGGGCCAAGCAGCTGAACCAGAAAAAAGACTACACGGCAGTGGCCACGCCGCAACCCATTCTGGCCAACGAAGGACCCAGCACATCGACACGCGGCAATCAAGGCGGATATGCCGATGTGGGATTCTCGATTCTCGAGAAGAAGGAGCGTGGCAAGCTGAACGATTATGTGGCGGCTCCTGGTCCCATGAACAAGCTGGTAAATGCTTATGGCGGAGCATCGGACTCCGAAGAGGAGAGTGCTGCCAATTTCCAGAATGCACAGGGTTCAGCGGGATCAGGAGTTATTTCTGAACGAAGCGGTGGCGCCGAAGAATCGGATTATGTGGACTTGCAAAAGCTTACCTGCCTGCTCTGCAAGCGAGCCTTCCAATCGCTGGAAATATTGCAGAAGCACCTGAAGATGTCCAATCTGCACAAGGAGAATCTGGCCAAGCTCAACCAAAATTCGGCAGCAAATAGCATTGATGAGGCACTGTCGTAAGTGGAATTATGTTGTTAAAGCGATGTTTATGTAATAAATTTAATTATATATCCCTAGTTATCGTGATCGCGCCAAGGAAAGGAGGCTTAAATACGGCGAGAGCGATCCTCCTCCGCCAAATCGCAGCAGGGAGAGATTCGAGCAGGAAATCAAGACTTTGCAGAAGGGGCAGAAGGATGCCTCTGGAAACGCACCAGCCATGCCCATTAGTTCCAGTAATGTGGGCAGTCGCTTGTTGCAGAAAATGGGCTGGTCGGAGGGCCAGGGATTGGGCAGAAAAAACCAAGGACGCACCCAGATCATTGAGGTTAACAGCTGAGAGTTAAGGCCATAAAAAGGATTTTAACTTAACTGATATTTGTATTACAGGCTGATGGACGCACCAACAACGTGGGTTTGGGCAACAAATCGGGTCAGATGATTCCCGGAAACGACTACAAGTCCTACATCAAGAAGATGATGAAGCAGCGTTATGAAAACGCCTGAGACTAGGATTTACTGCCTAAAACACTCTTAAAAATGTAGAGCCGTTTTCACGTGTTCCTTTTTGAGCTAAAATGGGTCGTTGAATTTTAAGCTAAAAAGCAAGAAAAGCTACTAGCATACCATATTATATATGAATCTTATTAAGCATTTTCTGTTGCCAATTTAAACTGATAAATATATATATTTTTCATTTGGCACTGGGCAACTTGCATACACTTTAAACTTGACCGGAAAGTGTAAAAACGGCTTTTTAGCTATTAAATTATAGATTGAATTATGATTAAGCAAACTCATACCCCCGAAGTGTACAAAAATAAATTTAAATAATGTCAAAATGTTTAAACGATTAAAATAACAGGGAAATTTAAAATCGTTTGATATATTAGCAACTTCAAACCTTCGTTGTACAAAAATAAAATTTAGTTAACGGATAAAAGTTTAAATATTCGTTTTTTGTAAAACAGATGTTTGCATACACTTTAAATAAAATAAATTTTTGGTTTTAGTTGTGATTAAGCCTAATAAATATAAATACAATGTAAAGAGAAGTTTAAATATTTGTGTGTACTGCGAAACAGCTGTTTTCGGAAATTTTGCAGCACTGGCATTCAAATAGTAATCGATAACAGACAGTCGGTGTTTCTGGGTGAATCGCAAAAGGAGGCCGAGATTTTTTCTATTCGTGTTTTTTTTTGTGCCCGGATAACTCTATTGTTTTTCTCTGCTTCAATGAAAAGAGAATTCCAGACGGGAAACAAGTATAACGAGTATTGCAATATAATCCTGTTAAAAACGTGGTAAACAAGTAAGATGTGTAAATTAACGCGGTTCAACTAAAAGGCAAACGGCCAAAAAAACAGGCAGACTGAATCTGAATATAATTACAATCGATTCGCATTAGATACGCATAGAATGGATTCTCGATATGGTCGCAGTTTCTCGGGAGGAAATGGAAATGGCAACGATTCGGGATATAGACGCTATACTCGTTCCAGATCCAGGTAAGATCTACACAGCTGTGGTCAAAATAATAGTAGTGAGCCAATGTAAAATGATCGAAAAATATACGTTTGATGGGACAGCATTTCGGTTAATAAATAATGATTGGCAAAAATCAATAAAGAAAATCGATATTGTTTTTTTGTTGTTTTTGAAAGAAAATTAAAACTTAATTATCATTAAAATTCACTTGTCAATAAAGTTGGTTTAACAAAAAATTAAAAAAAAAATTACCATTAAATTTAGTGCATCTGAACTGTGTATTTTCAAACAATTTAATTTTATCAATTTATCAATTTTTTAAAATTGTATACCTTCATAATCCTTATAGTATTAGCTTCAGAAAAATATATAATTTATTTTATGTTTCCATTTCCGTAAGCTAAAAACTACTATTATTTTGGCCGCAACTGTTCATATTTCCACTGAGTTTATGCTAATGTATCATTATTATTCCAGGGAACGAGATCGTAATGACTATAGACGCCGTAATTCGCGTTCCCGAAGTCGCGATAGATCGTCGCATTATAGACACGATCGCAGTCCAGATCGTGATCTGTATAGGGATCTGATAAATGAGGATTACGATGATCAGGGAAACTACAATTCGCGGCATAACTTTGATCATCGCCAGCATCGCAATGAGGATAACAACTATGATCGCCGCGATCAGGACAATCATGGTCGCCGTGATCATGATAACTTCAATAACCACGATCGTCATGATCAGAATAGCTATGATAAACGCAGTCGGGATAAATACGATAATGAACGCGATCACCGCTGGAAGGATTACGATCGGGAGTCCAAGGAGCACAACTATGATGACTTTGATAGAGGATCTGAACGTAGCAGGTGAGGAAATGCTATATACTTTATAAAACCTTTAGTTTTATAATCGAAATTTGAAAATGACCCCATTTTTGGAATTTTTAAAATATTGTTTCACCAGAAACTTAAATCAATCTACACTGATGTTTTAACTTTATTCACTTAAAAACTTGAAAATGTTTAGGATTTTTAGAATATTTTTTACAAATCTTTAATTTAAGATTTTCCCTTATAACCTTTATTTTTCAGTAATTAAGTACTTGAAAATGTTTGAATTTAATTTTAGTTAAAAAACTTCAATTATCTTTCGTAGAATTAAAAAATACACCATCCATATTACCTGATTTTGCTAAAACATTTAAACTTAAAGTCAACAAAGTTGTATTTTACATAGAACTCGACTTGAATGTGTACAAATTTACAAATGAATAATTCATGTTCAATTTAATGAGTTTAAGGGAATGCCTATATTATTTAGGTGAACAGCAAATGTTATTCCAATTAATTGCATACGAAATCAATGAAAAAATGCAAATAAAATTCAATAAATTAACGAATGAGTTACATGGAATAAAGGTGAACTAATCCATTATCTTTGCAGTCGCAGTGGTGATCATCGGCAGTATAATAATAATGGCAATGGCAATGGCAATGGCAGCAATAATGCCACTGCCAAAAATGATCGTGATCGTGAAAGACAGTATTCCTCGGATGAAGACAGCGATATGGCCAATGAATTTAAGCAACGTAGTCATTACGGTGGCCAAAACGTCGAGCCGCTTAATAATATCATACTCTTTGGTCTCAAGAAGCACGTCACGGAAGCAGATGTAATAATTTTTTTAATATAATATAATACAATGCAAATAAGGAAATAACATTGTTATTTACCCACAGATTATGGGCGAGCTGATTAAAGCGGATATGGAACCCAGTTCCATTCGCGTGATGAGGAAACAGCCAACAGGTGGGTTACATTTTCGTGTTTGACATTCGATTTATAGCAAAAAACAAAAAAAAAAAAAGAAAAACGAAAACACAGCGTAAGTATTGCGTGCCCAGCAAAACTGTTCGGAAAAGGATTTATTGTAAATTCAATTATATATACTTGGCTTACGACATCTGCAACAAAATTCCACAAAACAAATAAAAGATATATATATAGATAAAAAAACAAACAAAACAATCCCCAAAAATGTTACAAATGCCTATTTAAACAACCAACAACATTTTTTGACAAAAACATTTTCGTATCTGCTTCTATCTAAAATTTAGGTGCCTCACGCTGTTTTGCATTTGTCGAGTTTAAAACCGTTGAGGAGGCGAGACATTGGATGGATTTGAATCAGGTATCCACAACCAAACCAACAAGAAACTTGAATCTTCTTGAATCAGCCAATCAGCCAATCATCCAATCAGCCAAAAAAGAGAAATGATGGCAAAACTTGGAAACTTCTTGGCATCATCTTTAAAGAAATGGAGGCTTTGAGTTTGGTTTCTCTTTTGCTGTAGCTCTTGGTTATTTTTTTTTACATCTTCAATTGGGTTAACTAACTTCTTTAGTCTAAATTTGGATGGCCTACGAAGGGAACTGAACTCAAAGCCAGAGTTTCTCCACACAAAGGATAAACCATCTGCGACGGCGATAAAAACACAGAAGCAACCTGGTGACTGTTGTGTAGTCTGTGAAAGTTATGATTAGTATTTGAATCATTGCCGTTTCTGATCCGTTTTATCCTTTTTCTATTCCTTTTTCTCCTAAAGGGCACTCTCCAACTGGGCGACCATCGTGTGTCCATGCAGTATAGCCACACTCGCATCTCGGATTGGACCTGTGTTAAGGTGAGAATTAAGTAACACACAGACAAAAAAACTTGTGAAAAATCAACATAGATAAATAGTTAAGTTGACTATAAAAATTAAAATTAAATAATTGATTTTACATGTTTTATTTTCGGTGTTTATAAGCAGTAATGAGGTACTAAAATGGTTTTTTTTATTTTACAGTGTGGTGCCAGCAACTTCAAGCGCCGCTTTCAGTGCTTCATGTGCAGCTGCTCGCGAGCGGAGAGCGAGAATGCCTTGTCCGGAGCAGGCGAGGGCGTCGACGAGATCAGCCGCATCCTCACAAAAAGTATATCCACCAATGATCCAATCTTTCAATGCCGTTTCCTCCAGCTAATCAGCTAAAAATACCCCACTACAACTACTACTACTTTCCCAATGCAGAGATCATGCTGCGCAATCTGGACGCTTTGACCAACGAGGAGGGTGTGCTCACTGCCCTCCAGAAGCACCTGCCCGACTTGGCCAAAACAGTGAGCAAGGTGCTGGTTAGTCGGGACACCTTGACCCAGGCATCTCGGGGAATTTGTTACCTGAACTTTGACACACTCGTCGATTCGATGAATGTGTACAATGGACTGACGGCTTTGGATCCGCCACTAGAACTGGATGATAAAACTGGTATTTAGCCACATTCCACTTTAAAAGTTATTTCTTTTATTAATAGTAAACCTCGATTTCAGTTATCATAAGCTACTGCATTGATGCGGAAACGCGTCAAGGTTTTCCCAGCGACTCGAATCCATCTAAAGCCAGTGGCGGTGCAATGCCACCTTCGGGAATAAGTGGAGCCTACACCCTGGCGGATGTTCCTCGTCTCGCCGAGTACAGTGCCTCCGTGTATGCCTCCAATCCTGTGGAGCATGCCCATTATGTCCAGTACTATACGGATTACTATACGACTGAAATAAACAAGAACTGCGGGGATCCGCATGTGACGGAAGCGAATTCCGGAGCAGCTGTGGCCATGTCGGCCATGATGCGCAAGCAGCGCAAGGTTACCCACCTGGAGACGCCCACGACTACTGTTCCAGAGGCGAAGGCCGCCTTTCTGGCCAGAGGAGCAAGTGCACCCAGGGGAAATGATGGAAAGAAATATGGTAAGTGGTGCTACAACTTTAGCAATTTAATTGCTATTCTGGGCAACTATTAATAGATGGAAAATTACATTTTTTTTTTAAATTTTTAATTTTTCTTTAAAAACGTAGGTAAAAAACTTGCAATTTTTAAATGATTTTCTTTAACAAATTTATATTTTTTTAACCTATCAATTTTTTGAGCGTTTTCAGTTAATTATATTACATTTTATAACATTTTTTATGAGTTCGCATTATTTTGGTTATTTTTACTTTATTACTTAATTGTTTTAAATTTTAAACAACATTAACATTTTTAATGACTAGTCTCTATTTTTGCAATTTTTATTTAAATATTGTTACATTTTTACAACAGTTTTAATGATTTGCCATTATTTTGGAAATTTGTACTTAATTATAAATTTTTAACGATTTTTTGTATACTCTAGTAATTTTTGCCTACTAAGTTTTTGCTGCAATGCATAAGCTTTATTATTTTTGTCTCTGATAGTAATTCTTTTTTTTTATATTTTATATATATCTAGCCACTCCGGATGTGTCGAAGTACCAGTATGATGAGACCTCCGGCTACTATTACGACCACATTACGGGTCTCTACTACGATGCCCATTCACAGTACTACTACAACAATGAGACGGGTGCGTATCTCTACTGGGATCAGCGGAGGAGCACCTACGTCCTGGCCACGCCCGCTTCCACTCAGGCAGCGCTCCAGGAAGTTCTAGCTGAGGCCGAGAAAAAAGAGGAGGAGGCCAAGAAGGCCAAGGAGAAGGAGAAGGAAAAGGAGGAGGGCGGCAAACCGGACAAGGTCAAGGTGGCCAAGAAGATTGTCAAGGACATGGAGAAGTGGGCCAAGCACTTGAACCAGAGGAAGGACTATACGGCGGTGGCCACGCCGCAGCCCATTCTGTCGGGAAATGAGGCGCCCAGTACGTCGCGTGGAACTCAAGGAGCCTACGCCGATGTGGGTTTCTCGATTCTCGAGAAGAAGGAGCGTGGCAAGCTCAACGAGTTTGCACCACAGGCAGGACCACCAGCCATAAACAAACTGGTCAACGCCTATGGAGGAGCCTCGGATTCGGAGGAGGATAACACTAACTCCTCCCAGAATTTGCAGAAAGTGGTGGAAACAGGAGGTGCTGCTGTTAAGGGTGCGCCCGATGAATCGGAATTTGTGGACTTGCAAAAGCTTACCTGCCTGCTCTGCAAGCGTGCCTTCCAATCGCTGGAAATATTGCAGAAGCACCTGAAGATGTCCAATCTGCACAAGGAGAACCTGGCCAAGCTCAATCAAAATTCGGCAGGAAATAGCATTGATGAGGCACTGTCGTAAGTGGAATTATGTTGTTAAAGCGATGTTTATGTAATAAATTTAATTATATATCCCTAGTTATCGTGATCGTGCCAAGGAAAGGAGGCTAAAATACGGCGAAAGTGATCCTCCTCCGCCAAATCGCAGCAGGGAGAGATTCGAGCAGGAAATCAAGACTTTGCAAAAGCGGCAGAAGGATGCCTCTGGCAGTGCTCCAGCTATGCCCATCAGTTCGAGCAATGTGGGCAGTCGTCTGATGCAGAAGATGGGCTGGTCGGAGGGCCAGGGATTGGGCAGGAAGAACCAAGGACGCACCCAGATCATAGAGGTAAGAAAGTCCTTGAAACTACATATATATTAATTATTAAAGGTAAATCTTCGTTTTAACAGGCTGATGGTCGTAGCAACAATGTGGGACTGGGCAACAAGGCTGGAAACTTGCCGCCTGGTAACGACTACAAATCGTACATCAAGAAGATGATGAAGCAGCGCTACGAGAACGCTTGAGACTTCATTCATAGACATGTACGATTTAAATTCCGCTTAAATATAGGAGCATTTAGGCATTGGTTACCTCAATTACAAAATCCACCACCTTATTGCGCTCATTTAGCATTACTTTCGAAGTTAACATGTAAATAGGACGTGAATAAAAAGTCACAAATTAGATTTGATTTAATGATTTTGATTATTAATTATAAGACATTGGATACGAAGTTCTTAACATTTATTTTTAAGTAAGCTTGGGTAAACCATTGGAGCTCCTCACTTTGTGGGATTGCAGCGAAGCACCAGCGGCAAATTCCTTAAAAATATCGAACACCAGGTGGCGTTCGATAAAGTTAAGCGGCTCCTGTTGCGTTGACATTTTCCCGTTTCCTATATAATGATCTTATAACCCATTGAATCGATAGCTCCCATTTAGCTATTTGGTATATTTCCGCTTAATACCAAATTATTGAACACTAGGTGGCGTTCTGTATAATGTAGTTACGTGGACACTTTTACTTAATGATAATCTATATATTATACACCTTTAATATTTTCTATTCTAAAATCGATAGCATCAATTTATGAATATGGTATATTTTCGACTATAGCCAAAATATTGAACACTAGGTGGCGTTCAAAACAGTTTATGTGCACTTGTAGCTTTGACATTTGTACCTTTATTAAATGATAATCATGGCTAATCTATACTCTTAATCAAAATCCAAAATTTTAACGGAAAAATAATATTTATTCTAAAATCGATAGCCTCAACTTAGAAATATGGTATATTTCCGATTATAAGCAAGTGGTCACACAGAATCGCGATTAAAAACGTGCACCCGGCTTTTTTCGGGGTAAACATTACATTTTACTTAGATTAAACCTTAAAATAAATCCCACCTTAATGAGTTCAAGTAAGATACCTCCGTTGACCTACAAGGTGGTGGCGGAGTGCTCCGTTTCCAAAGCCAGGGCAGGATTAATGACCCTCAGGTGAGTGTTTCCTTGAGATAAACTCTTAAGAACTCTGACTAACCCATACAACGAATCCCCATTAACAGGCACAGTGAGGTGAATACTCCCGTGTTCATGCCAGTGGGAACTCAGGGAACCCTTAAAGGCATCCTGCCGGACCAACTCATCGAGCTGAACTGCCAAATCCTCCTGGGGAATACCTATCATCTGGGTTTGCGTCCGGGAATTGATACCCTGAAAAAAGCCGGTGGTCTGCACAAGTTTATGGGCTGGCCCAGGGCCATCCTAACCGACTCCGGTGGCTTCCAGATGGTTTCCCTGCTGCAGCTGGCCGAGATCGATGAGCATGGCGTGAATTTCCGATCCCCCTTCGACAATAGTCAGTGTATGTTGACACCAGAGCATTCGATACAAATACAAAATGCCATTGGAGCGGATATAATGATGCAGTTGGATGATGTGGTCAAGACGACTACAACCGGACCTCGAGTGGAGGAGGCCATGGAGCGCACCATACGCTGGGTGGATCGCTGCATTGAGGCACATGCCCGCGATGATGATCAGTCGCTGTTTCCCATTGTCCAAGGTGGATTGGATGTGCCACTGCGCCAACGTTGCGTATCCGCCCTGATGGAGCGTCAAGTTCGGGGATTCGCCGTTGGAGGATTGAGTGGTGGCGAGAGTAAGCACGATTTCTGGCGGATGGTGGATGTGTGCACGGGTTATCTGCCCAGGGATAAACCACGCTACCTGATGGGCGTGGGATTTGCAGCCGATCTGGTGGTCTGTGTGGCCCTTGGCATCGATATGTTCGATTGTGTTTTTCCCACCCGGACAGCTCGTTTTGGTTGCGCCTTGGTGGACAGTGGTCAACTGAACTTGAAGCAACCAAAGTACAAACTGGACATGGAACCCATTGACCAGGATTGCCATTGTAGCACCTGCAAAAGATATACTAGATCCTATCTGCACCACATTGCCACCAATGAAAGTGTCTCCTGTTCGTTGCTAAGCATCCACAATGTAGCCTATCAACTAAGATTGATGGGCAGCATGAGGCAGGCCATTCAGCGGGATGAGTTCCCACAATTTGTCAAGGAATTCATGGCCAAACACTTTAAAACCGATCCCATTCCCGCTTGGATACGAGAAGCTCTGGCAGCTGTAAATATTCAATTGCCAGCGGATCCGGAGAAGAAAGATCAGGACCTGGAAAAGAAGACAAAGTCAGAGAAGCGCCAGGAGACAGAGAATGTGCCCGAGGAGCATATCGCCACCAGCTAATGCGCCATAGTAAAAAAACACAGTTTTGATTCCCTTTAAGAGGCATTTGTATTTAAAAACTGACTGGTTTATAAATACCTTTTAAAACCTTGTAGACATTTGATATACATGAGACAAACCATGTACATATTTAGTATAAGCTTAACATCAAAGTTTAAAGTTAAAAAAAATATATAAATTTAACTTTTATATAATATAATATGAACTTCTATAACTTGAAAACTATGGGGTCATACTATTTTTGTTGAAAATTTAGAGCATTTAATAAACTTTTATAAGCTCTGTATATAGGTTTTAATAAAAAGAAACTTTTATTTACAAAAGTTAAATGTTTAACTTATTTAATTATTTAATTTATTTTCTTTTTTCTTCCAAAAGCTTTACTTTTATTAGTATTTGTTATATAAATTAAATTATTTGTTTATGACAAAGTTTATGACAAACCAAAAATTTATTTTAACATATTTTAATAACATTAAATTTAGATGATACCTTTTTCACATAACCCGCTGTACCTCAACATAGGGTATAAGAATACTGGTTTTTGGTTCTGCTTTGCCTACGTTTTCGCTTTTACCTATGGGAAAAAGCTCAATGTGCCAGTATGCGTCATAGCGCAAATCGGTGGCGATCGTGAATCTCGCGTGGAACGGCCAACCAGACCAATTTTCGATTTGTACTTTATTCTCGCCTTTTTCCTCGGCTTCTTTCTTTTTTGATTGTACTTAGAGTACATGTGTGGTAAATAAGAAAGAAAACAACAACAAAATAAGCAACCTCTCACTTTTAATTCGGCTCTCTCGCGAGCTCTCTTCTCCGTTGGGCTATATTTTTTTTGCCGAACTCTCTGTGTTAATCAAAGAGATCTGAGATCTGCGAGAGGAAAAGAGAGAGTGGGGGAGCACGAGATTGGGGCAAGTGGTGGTGGATCCAGTCGGTGGTGGATGGATCGTTCAGTGAGTCCCCAAGCGTTGTCGCATCCACTTTAGCGCGTTTACACTCGCGGATTCTGGCGCCGTGTTCGGTACTTTACTAACGGTTTTGCGCACGCATCTGGCGGCAAATTGGCAGCGAGAAGCCCGCGCTAATAATAAATATATATATTTTTCGAAAATCGCCAAAAACGAAGGAACGCAAATCCATATAACACCTTCAATTGTAAGGAGTCCCCAAAATTTATTGCTTTGCAATGACAATTAATCACGGAATTGCAGTGCGTGAGTGTGTGTGATTGTGTGAGTGCTGGAGTGAGTGACTCTGTGTGTGTGTGATTTTACCTCGTATCGCTTGCCAAATGTGGTAAACTCGAAATAACAAAAAAAAAACATATATATATGTATAAAAATCGTGCCTTGTAATCGTGCTTTTTATGGCCGTGTCGCCTTTGTTTATCCCCAGGATTTCGTTGGAGTATCAAAGAGCATTTAAGAACCCTTATATAAAGTATACGCCAAGTATATCTGCAAAGTCCAAAAGTGATTTTTTCCGCTCACTTTATTATTTATATTTTTTTGTATTTGCCATCGTTTTTGGCTTTGGCCTGTGTGTTTTTGAATTTTCATGGTTTCATTTCTTTAAATAAGTTTTATTTTTAGCATTTTTAGTTATTTTTGTGTATATGTTTTTTTTTTGTTCTCACCATTTTCGCTGTGCTGCCCAGTTCGCCTGATTATTTTTTTCGAAAAATGTTCATGCCGATTCTTTGGAATATTCATGGGCTTTCTACACTGTGTACACAAAATGTGTGAAAAGATTTGTGTTTAAAATTCGGTTAAGTTAAAGGTGCACATGAGGTGGACCAAAAAGTTAAGGGAGAAAGTAACGAAATTTTGCATTTGTTTTAAGACTGTTTATACAAACTAGAAAAGTAAATATATACATTTCCTATAATTGTAAAGTATTTGGCTATTATTATCTTTTATATTGGCATGACATTTTCCAAAGTCGATTGTCAGTAAAAGAGAAGTGGGCACAAAATCATATTTTTATTACTCGTAACGAAGGTCAACATTAATATAAACTAATTTCATACCATAAGGAAGCTCTCTTTATTTCTTGTGATCATGTCTACTTTTTATGGCCATTTTTTGGGTGTCTACTATTTTGCCAAACACTCGAACTCTGTTGGCCACAATTCATAAATAAAAAGTAAACACACAAGGCAGCCAATTTATGATTGAAGGCACATAGCGAAACAAGATTTTTTTCGGCTTTGAATGTTGGCCTCCAAATGCAAAGTCTAAGACAAATGGTCAATAGCGCAATATAAAGGCGAAAAGCCAAATGGCAACAAATTACCACCAAAGAGTGGCGAAAAAAAATGTATAGAAAAATAAAAGAAAATTTTAATGATTGCTGCTAATCATAATCACACTAGAATTTGTCAGTTTCGTACCGTTAGTAGACTCTGGGCTCTTTGCTTTTGCCTAGTATTTATAAATTATGACACATTCGAGAGCCGAAGAGAAACTGAGAGAATGGAATGGTATATTCTTTATATTATTTTACTGGGGAGTGTAACTATGGGCAATACTCTTTGAACAGCTGCTGTGGGGGCTGCAGAGAATAGGGGGCATGGTCAGAGTATTGTTTTGATGGTCGTTGAGCCGCAAAACACATGCAAAATTCGTAATTTTTCCCCCAACAAAAGTGGGAGCGAAAAAATTGAAGACGAGGGCAATTAAGCAAAGTAATTATGGGGAAAAGAAAACACAAGGAAATACACTTTCGCGCCTTTGTTTTTGCAATTGATTAATTTCATTCTTCTCTGTCGGTGTGCTTAAAAAAACTTGTTTTAATTATATAAATTAATGAATACTTTTATATGAGCGGAAATTCAAATGCAGCTTAACAGCCAATTAAAATCGTTTATCGAAGTTCAGTTATAAACAAAACTCCAAATGAATTATTTCCTGTCTACAGA